GAGGTTATTAACCTTAAAGAACGCCAATTTCCAGTGATGGGGTAAAAAAGTTGGACCATGAGGTGTTAAAGAGACAAAAAAAAGGGGGGAACAGAGGCTGAACACTGTCAGCTATTCTCCAGCGGGCAGCAGCAGGGTGGGCTGTTGGAACCATAACCGTCCACTCACTAGCTGACTAACTTCGGCCTCGGGAATGTTCACCTGTTCCCCTTGTTGTAATGCAGAAATAATATGAGTTGTCTTAGGAGGTGACTGGGAATAACCCTCAAACGAGCTGACTGAGACAGGCCTGTAAGTTCAGTTGAGGAGACATACCCCATTTGACCCACGAAAGATGCTGGCACACTTTATCAGAGAGTCTGGGAAAGAATATGTGGAGTCAAGCTTAAAAAATTCTTGCATCATAGTTGTTCACCTTCTTAACAAGGAGAGCATGACCTGGCTGGTGTGGCTCAGTGGACTGAGTGCCAGTGTGTGAACCAAAGGGTGGCAGGTTTGACTCCCAGTCTGGGCACATGCCTGGGATGTGGGCCAGGTCCCCAATAGGGGGCGTGTGAGAGACAACCACACATTGATGTTTCTCTCCCTCCCGTTCTCCCTACCTTCCCCTCTCTCTAAAAATAAATAAATAAAATCTTAACAAGGAGAGCAGTAGTGTTCAATCCCCTCAGACCCAATGTTCCCTTCATAGCAAACACTGTACTATCCTGAAATGAGATTCATTGAGGAAATAACCTATCTATATACATTAAAAATAATATAATGCCCAAACTACTTTATAGAGGATAAATTAAAACAGGTTGGCATTAAATTAAATATGTGATTTTCCATGTGAATGCTTGTGCATGGCTATATCAGAAGCACGGTGAAGTATACAGAAGCTGATGTCTGTATGGACAATCGGCATGGATGCGACAGCTGAAAACCTGCTTTGTCTGTTTTATTAAACGGCAACTCAAACACGTGAACAGCTTTGCTGATGGCGACTTTCTAAAACATGAACTTTTGAAAACGTTCTGAACAAAACAAGTGCACACGTTCTCCAATCTACATAGTAGATGCACTTCTGGAAAATTCAGTGGATATTGAAAAAAATGCAGACTCTCAAACACAAGATATTTTGTGTTTATATCGAAAATGGTTTCTGGCTTATTATAAACAGGCTGTCCAGTGGGACACAGAAAGTTCCATGGCTCTCAGGGCAGCACTTTGTGCGGGGACTTTTCTGTGCCCTGGAGACCTCTGCCCCAGTTGGCTGTCCACTCACTCACTCTTCTCACACTGACAACCAAGAAACACTGCACAGATTTCCAAAATGCCCACCAGGGGGTGGCACTGTCCCCTTTGAGAATCACTGCAATGGGATATGTGATTATAATTGAAGTCTATATTAGAAGACGCTCACCGAATGTTTGTTGAGTAGAATGATTAAGAATCTTGTAGATCCTCACAACTGTGATTTTGAACTTTAGTTCACACAGTGGACAGGCTGTGGATATAAATAGAAGATCTAGAATGGAAAACCAGATGTTTCAATCTTTCAAGCTTAACCCAGATGTTTGGAAGTGGCTGCCTTTAATGCTGCATAGCAGTGATTTTTCAACCTCTTTCTCTCATGGCACACATAAACCAATTACTACGATTTTGTGGCACACCCAAAAATATAATTTTTGCTGACGTGACAAAAAACAGGTATAATTTTGATTCATTCACAGCAGACGGCTATTGTTGCATTGGCTGTTGCCACTTTTTAATGTGACAATCGAAGGGACAAGAGGTCAGTGTGCCCTTGACTAAATAGTTGGGTATTGTATGTTTTAAAAATCTGTGTGGCACATCGGTCAAAAATCGCTGCTATATAGAGAAAAAACATGTAAAGACTTAGACCCATGCCTGGCTCATAATAAGAGCTGAATAAATGTTAATCACTAGTATCATTACTCATCAGAGCAGAAAGAACACCTGCAGGGAGATGATGCTGGATTCTCTGATACATGCCAATGTTGATTTGATTGGCAAAGGTGGCTGGAGATTGTCATTAAGATTAAAAAAGAAAAAAAAGAAAGATCCCATCAAAGACTCCATAAGTGGGTGGCACAGATCATACTCCCTTGTTGTATTCCCCCCTCCTCCCCGCAAGAGAATGTAAGATCAGATATGACTTTACTGTTGATAGTTTACGCTGTTGCTTACATCAGCAAAAACTACTCATACTGGGATGATGGTTCAGTTAGGGGTTAATTTATTCTCCTACTTACAAATACACAGAGATATACAAAGAACCTAGGTTGTTATATACTTTTTTTGGTTTTTGTAAATGATTTGTGTGTCTCTAAACTTGGAAAGAGAAATATAGTTCTCTTGAACATGGAGAATTTCAGCTGCAAAGGAATTCTTAGCTCTAATAGGAGTGTGTAATTGAGAGAATGTGAAAAAAAGGAGGAAGTAGTTTAAAGAGAGAGATGGTTCTTATTTTTCTCAAGTAAAGCATTTATAAAATACAAAAGAAAATGGCCCTGGACTCTGGAGTCAGAACTCATGATGCCAGCATTTTGCAATAATATCTCTTTAATCTATAAATCTTACAACAGTTTATGGGCACTAATTAAGTTTTGCCATACTCATACAACTCACACTGCATTGTATTTATTCCCTTTTTACTGAGGCAAACAAGGGCAAAGAATGTTTAGTTACTTGAAGTTACAAAGCTAAGATTTGAATCCAGCACCCAGAGATTCTAGTTCAGAGAGGGAAGAGACCCACATTGTGACTTGACAGTTCACCCCTGGCTGATGTTCAGTGGAGCAGGAAGTGATCTCCAGCAACTTGGAGAGGGAGAAATAAGCTAGGAGTTCAGGGAGGGTTAGGAGACCAAGAGTGGGGACCAGAGATCCTGACATGCAATGAAGGTATAAGTACCTTGTGTCTCTGACCATCACATTACTGTCTTAGCTTGCCATGATCCTAACTGGACACATGGGATTACAATATATACTATCCATTCTAGGTTCTTCTTGGGAGGTAGGCTTGAGTAGAGTCTATGGGTGGATGGGACTTTCTGTACGAGAGCTAGGGAAGTGGTCTAGTATTGGTGGACAGAGAGGTTAGTCAGTTACCAATGGAAGGAGCACCTGGAAGAAAACTGAAGGGCAACAGGCTATGTTCCTCCTTCTCACTTGACACCTTGGCCTTCTTTCTTTCTTTCTAAAAATTTTATTTATGAGAGAGAGAGAGAGAGAGTGACAGACAGACAGACAGACAGAGACAGACATTGATTTGTTATTCTACTTAGTTATGCATTCATTGGTTGATTCTTGTATATACCTGGACTGTGGGTCAAATCCACAACCTTGGCATATCAGGACGACGATCTAACCTGGCCAGGTTGGCCATCTTTAAAAAGAAAGAAAGGGAAAAAAAACAGAACAAAACAAAAACAAAGCACAGGCTAGGTCTGAGATCAATTTCAGATGGCTAATTGAAACAGCTATACCTGAGACACATCCAGGGCCAGACTTGTCCAGAACCCAAAATAATTCCATCTAGGCCTATCATTACTTTTGAATTGAGACTAAAATCAATTTAAGGTGATGCATTTCTCTCTCCATGTCCCCTTATTTTTTGAAGGGTGAATTTCAAAGGTTGTGCATGAGTATTTTGACTTATACGGAACTAGAATCGGAGTAGGGGGGTAATCAGGAAGTCCCAGCCAAGGCCGGTGCAGATTCTGAGCACCAAGTAGGGGTCTCACAGGCTCCAAAATTATTATATTATTGAGGTTAAATCAAATACATAAAAATAGCAGCAAATCATTCACTTCTTCAAAGAGAGTTACATACCAAATTGCAGGGAAATTTATTAGCACATCTTAATCTGAAAAAGAAAAGTTATTTATAATGCTAAGTTACAAGTTCGAGGCAGAAATCAAAAAAATTCCAGTTGTGATCAGTTTTTATTCCAAATTCCATCAGTTTATTAAAAATAATTAGTTTACAAAGGGCTTAGTCCATAACTGTAACAGAAAAATAATACAAATCAGAAGTATATAAATTATATATTTTCATTAAACATTACAATAACTACAAGCAACAGTTAACATGCACACACACGCACGGATGTTTGTAGACGAGTTACTTAAATTCTTGCTCATGTCATTTCAGAAAATTTTAAGATAATATTACCTTTACTAAAAAACATACAGCAAAAGTAGTCTAGCTAGCAACCTATCATCTACATTTCAGTATACTACCATAAAAAGATAACTGATGTTTATGATTTGGGGGTTATTAAAAGATCCCCAAATGCCTTTTAGGTTATCAAAGAAAGATAACATGGTATTTGATAGTTTTTAAACCTTTGACATAGCTTTAATGGTGAGTTATTTGATGGTCCTTTGGGTCTTGAAAATGTGGGAAATCACATATGGTTAGGAAACATTCTTTTAATCGGAACATGCGTTAACCAGAACAATCCATTCTCTAGTCTATTGCACCTTAACAGACAATTTGTGAAAAAAAGGAAACGTGGCCAGGGCAACACGTTTCCTCTTTTTATAAACCTTGCACTGAGTCTGTCCCTCACCAATTACATAGGGTCCCTTGGGCCTCAGAACTTTCCACAAGCGGTTAGGTCGCCATGGCGATGCACCTGGCTGCTGAGGCAGAACACAGGTGATGCGGCGGAGGCCGGCACGGGGAGGCCGCGGGGAGTCTGGCTGCAGAAAACCGCACAGGGTCTTCTTGAACTCCTAGAACTGACTGCTCAGCCTTGTCTGGAATCTGCAGAGCCTGCCCTGACTGCCCACCTGTCCAGGAAAGCGCGCGCTGCCCACCACCGCGGTGCCGCTTTGGAGGCGTGGGTGCTTTTGATGGCTGCCCATGTGGGGCCCTGGTGGCTCCCTCTGGGACCCCACTTCGTTGATGCTTAAGCATCACCCTCTGGCACCCTCAGAGGCTATGACTCAGGTGAAAGGGGTCCATTTTGCCCAGCCCCTTGGTCTCATGCAGCCGTTCAGCATCCCCGTTCAAATTACACTCCAGGGCGGCCGGCGGCGCCAGGGGAGGTAAGTCACCCCCGGAATCTCTCCGCCTCTAAGGGGACTCAGTGGCTAGAGGAAGAACAGCCATGACGAGTCTGCGAGTTGAGTTTGGTCGTCATCCTCTGAGGGTGCCCACTTGCCGCCTCCCAGGGGACCCTGGAGGCTTCCTCAGCAGCGGTGACTTCTGGGAGGCAGCACCCTTTCACCTTGTCTTCCTTCTCCAGGTTGTAAGTTCTTGGAGGCCAGTGACCTTTTAAACTCCGCTCTGGCTCCTTCGCACCACACCATGACCCGGCACAGAGCTGGTTCTCAGTAAAGAGCTCTTGATTGAGTGAAGGAATGAGGAAATGCCGACCAGCATTTGGTTCCATTGCTGAAGCATGCTTGGATCTTGGGGTCACAGGCCTGGATTCAAATCCCAGCTCCACCACTTAGCTGGCCAGAGAGTTGTGAGAAGGTCATTGAATTTCTCTCTGCCTCATCCCCTGGTCAGTGACGTGGAGAGAGTAATAGCCTTAGCATGCTCTCTATACTAGTTCATCATACTATCTATACATTGTATCCATTGTTATTAACCACTTTGGCGGAGGAAGTGAGGTAACTGCTTAAGGGGGGAAGTGAGATAGTTAAGCTATCCTGAGGACCTCTTTTCTCCCCCGGGGAATGCAAAGCAGAGGGTCTGAGAGCCTTAAGCTGCACTCCCTCTGCTTGTCCTTGAGTTTGGGTGGGGGGTGGCAGGCAGTCAGAAGTGGGCACCAAGTTGAGAGAAGAGCGATGCCTGAGGGGTTTTGAGGAGTGGGATATTAAAAGCCAGCCAGCTCATTCCTGGGGGAGTGCATTTCGCAGCCAACTTCACTCACTCTATCCCCAAACCTGGGTGGTTTGTTAGTGGTTGAAGTGGAGTTGGGAGCTGAGAAAATGGAAACAATAAAGATCATGATGGTCATCACATTACCCACTTCCCTCATCCTTTAACTACGCTCAAGGGTACAGGAGAGAAAGAACACAGGAGAGTGAGAGATAGGGGTGTGGACGGATGTGGGAGCTGAAGGAGGAAGGAACAGACAGACCAAAGAGGAAAGAGATACTGGCAAAAACACTTCTCTCTTAAAAAACGAGCTAATGCTTTTGTGAAAAGACAATGAAAGAGAATCACTGTATGGCAGAAGATCAAATGTCAAACTTGCAATGGAACAAGTTTTAATGTCCTGTTCTTAACATAATTAACCAGATAGAAGAGCACTTGTGTGCTCCCTGAAGCTCTCCAGTCTCCCATTTTCATTTCTGAAACACACGATTGGGTTATTGCTTTTTCCACTTACCAAACTCGATGAACCACATTGACTTAACCTCATTCGCTGTTTCAAAAGAAGATGTTAAATGATTTTATAATTAAAAAAATAGAAGGGGGTTTAAAAAAAGGAAAAAGGTAAAAGCAATTACCCAAATCTCTTCTGCAACACAAACAAATTACAGGAAAATATTAATTTAACATACAGAACGCTTAGAAATTACATACACATGTGAAAAGAGTGTCAGATGAACTATCAAGCTTTGATGAACCACAGCATCTTTCTAAGGAACACTTGTTTTTAATCTTTATTGTGTTTTCTCCATTACCATTTAGTCCCCTTATACCTCCCCCGCCCCTGGCCCCCCAGCCCCAACACTTTTGCACAAGTTACAGTGTAGGAGGGAGAGGTCTGGCATCTGCTGGGATCACGCCCTCAGGAGCCTGTCAAGCCTTTGAAATTGAGTTTGCCTCAGGTTAAGCCAGAAGGCGCCTGTAGCAGTGTGTACTATCTGGGAATGTGAAAGTCAGCTCTGTCTGCATGGGAGACACAGAAAGGGGCGGGAACTGCCTTGACTGAATCTCCAGGTAACACATTGGTTATAAGAAGAGATGTACTGCTGGCAAAAAGGAATAAAAGTGCTGTTAATTTATCTCTGGCTAGAGAGCAAAATTAGATCATTCTTAAGTGCTTTGAGGTCCTTGGATGAAAGGTGCTTGTAAATACCACAAAGGTAATTATAGGGATGTTTATGGCTTCGGAAAACTTCTTCAACAATAAGGAAATGGTTAAGGAAATTATGGCACATCCAAATGATGGAATATTATTTTGTAGCCAATAGAAGGGTTACAAAGAATTGCTGCTGACATGGGAAAGTGCTTATTACGTTAAATGAAAAAGGCAAGATTAAAAAAAAAATCCCTACAGCCAGTGTGATCTCATTCTATTTAAAACAACACAGAGGAGGAGAATAACTCACTAAGTGAAGAGTCATTATCTCTAAGTAGTAGGATTGTGGCTGACTTTTATTCTCTATTTTTCAAATTTCATAAAATGAACATATAAAAAGTGCTTTCACGAATTCTTTGACATTTGTTGAGGCTTTCTTTATGGCTCAGTTTGTGGTTAGGTTTCATAAATGTTCCATATATGTTTGAGAAGAATATATATTCTGTAGGGGATGGTAGTCTATATTATCATTGAGACATAGCTTGTAAATTGCTTTGCTCAAATCGATTTCCTTTCTGATTTGTCTGATTAAGCTGTAAGTTATTGAGGGAGTATATAAAAATATCTCATAATCTGATAGTGGATTTTGTCTATTTTCCCCTGTCGTTCAGTCAATAAGGCAATGCTATTAGGTACATAATAAATAGCATTTAAATTTTCAGTTGAATTTTTAAACCTTTAATTAATGTTATTACCTTCTTTACTTTCAATAAAGCTTTTTGTTAGACTTTGCTTGAGAAATGTCAACCTTTCTATATCTGTGTTTTAGATGTATCTTTCATAAAAGTCTATGTTTAAATCTAGTCAGTCTTTCTCTTTTAACTGGATCATTTAAGTCATTTAGATTTATTGTAATGACTGGTGTACTCGAACTCACTCTATCATGTTTCTGTGCTATCGTCCTATCTTTTCCATGAACTTTCCCACTATTTCTTGCATTTTCTTTTGGATTTATTTTTTCCTCCCTTCCATTCTTTTTTCCTCTACTAGTTTGGAAGTTAACTCACGTATTTGTACTCTCTTAGTGGATTCGAAATTTTAGCCTTCAGACATCAACTTACCAAAGAGAAATGTTTTTATGTTCCATTAGAAAAATGTCAGGCTTTTAGAACACATGAACTAAGTTATATGTTGTTATACACTTTTAACTCTATAATGATGATAATTTTATTTAAAAATTTAAAACTAATTTGAATTTGAATATTTAATTAAGCTGAGGTATTATTATTTTATAAAGTTGATATCTACTTTTGCCCTTTAATTGCTCTTCATTTCTGTATAAATCCTAGCTCTTCCATTTGAGTTGTTTTCCCTGTCTCAGGTAAATACCTGACCTTTTCCTTAGTGGGGATCAACTGATGGTCAACTCAGTTTTGTGTGCTTCTGAAGTGTCTTTATTTCACTTATTCTTGAGAGATTTTTGCTAGGTGTAGAGCTCTGTAGTTACTTTTCCTCAGCATATTGGCCATATTTCTGTCCTTGTTATGGAGAAGCTTCAGCCTATCTGTCATTTCTTTGAAGTTAGTCTGTCTTTCCCCCTGGCTGCTCTTAAGCTTTTAAGATTTTGTCTTGTCTTAGTGTCTGTGCAACATCTCTGTGATGTGTTTAGGTGTGGGTTTCTTTTTATTTTATCTCAATGGGCTTCTGGAATCTGGGAACTGTGGTCTTCATCAGTCCTGGAATTTGATTATCTTTTAAAATATTACTTATGACTTACGTCTCTTTTCCCTGCAATTCAGAAAAGGCCTTATGTTAGACATTTGCTCTTTATTGTTCATGTTTCTTAACCTCACTTAATTTGCTATTTAAGAAATTTCTCTGTATTATAATCTGTTTTGCGGATCCCTCTCTCTGTTTACTAATTAGCTTTTCAGATGTGTCTAATCTACTGTTAAATCTTTCCACCGAGTTTTTTAATTTCAATTAATTTATTTTTAATTTCTAGAAATTGTATTTGATTTTTTAAAAATATTGGATCGGGCCTATATTAGAGTCCTTGGCTCTTTCTGATATTTCTCATCCTTTATTTCTTTAAACATATTGTAGATACATTTTTATATACTGTCTAAATATCTGAAGTTTTTGGTGGATCTGATTCTGTTGTCTTTTTTTTCTTACTCAAAGTCCTTGTTGGTGTGTTCTGTGACTTTTGAATAACAACACATGCTCTTTGAAACTTTATAGGATTCCTTTGAGGTGAGTTCCCTGAGGGAAGTATGTGTTTGCTTCTGCCAGATGCCAAAGGGACAAATACTTGTGACAACATTGAATGCAATTGTTAAGTTAGAGTTTTTGAATTTCCCAGGTAGTGTGAGTTCAGGCTAAAACTCTCTTGAGGATCACCTTAAAGTTACAAAATCTCAGGGGAGATTGTAATTTCCCCCTCTACTAGTTTCAGGGTTTGAGGTGGTTATTTCTAGTTTATTTTTACACTGAGTATGGGGTCCTTTGGGTCAGTTCTGGCCGAGTGGTGTTTTAAATTCCATACCGTGGATCGGCCCTGGGCATTGCTTCCTGTCCTTGTGCGGGGGGGCCCCCCCCCCCCGCCGCCGCCCCCCAACCCCCACTGTGAAACTAAACTCAAGGTCACTCAGTTCTGCAAATTCCCTCAAGGTAAAAGTTTACTTCTGTTCACTTTCCTCCCTAAATTCCTGCTTTAAGAGAGGTTTTGTCCTTTGAATATTTCCAACTTATTTAAAAAAGCTTTGGCCAGAATTTTTCGTTGTTAGCAGTTAGAGTGGGTGTCTAGTCCACTGTCTAGTGAAATAGCTTCATTACTTTTACAATAATAAAAATATATCTGTGTATTCATTTTAGTTATCCTTCCCCCCAAACATGAAGTAACTTCTTCACAAGTGATCAGTGAGGTTGTCAACTTTTCATAAAGCCTTGAAACACAGTGGACAGAAATATTAGAAAGAGAAAATACAGTCTCGAATTATACTACCAGGTCTGTCTTATTCGTAAATTAGATCAGAATCAAGTTATGCCAGTTTTGTGCATCATACAATTATAATTGGGTTAAGTCAATGCATCAGAAATGCCAGAGATACTTCATGAAAAGCTTCTTCACACATGGCCCTCAAGGGTCCCTGCAGTAAACTTCCAGGACATCTTATGCTATGAAGCACCTGAAATCCAGTTGCAGAGCAAAGAGCAGGGTGTTGGGTACTGGGAAGGTACCCAACAAACTATCCAAACCTTTGTTTTGGGACTAAAACTCTTAATCAATCTATGATGTCCGTTGATACATTGTAAAATGTACTGGCTCAAATTTCATTAAAACTTTTTTCCTCCTGCTCATTCTCTGAGGGTGGGATGATAGAGAGTGACTGAAATTTCAAAGGAGACCGAAAATCCCCCAGCCAGGTCCTTGATTCCCAAAGTACCGTTAACCAGGGCTGCTGCCATCTCCAGGGCCCCCTGGGTTGTCTGCCATCCCCCTCACGCTCTTCACAGTTTGAAGATGTCCCCAGGAGAAAGGGAGCTAGGCAGAAGAAGGCGAAATGTGGGAGATAAAGCAGAACAGGTGCTCTGGAACCACCCCCCCCCAAAAAAAAACAACCAAAAAGAAACCCACCCAAAAACAAACAACCAACCTAGCAATTCCCCTGACAGGGTTTTTGCTTGGCTTCAAAATTTAGACTGTGTTATGCAGCTGAATGAACCTGACTCTCTACCATTATAGCTGCATTTGTTTGACTTAAGGTTTTGTTAAGCCTCTCAAAATGGAATAACCTCTGGGACTCAACTGCTTTCTGAGCAGCGGACACCGCTCAGTGTCGCGGACTCCAGAGGAAGCGCGGGACCGAGGCACGTGGGAGAACGCCCTGCTGGGGTCCGCCAGCTGTTCACAGGCAGAAGTGCGGGCCTTGTGATGCTCTCAAAAGTCAGAGATCAGCACTTTTATGAGATTTCACAATTTTTAGAGTGACTAATCCCACATTAAGAAAATACAAAGCTAAACTAAATGGATTTGTGGGCTGGATCCTGTCCATGGGTCACCAGTTTGTAACCTTTGTGTTGGACTTTACTATTCACTGGACATCCCATTGTGAAAGAACTTGTTACATCCTTGGCTGGAGCAGAGCAGGGAGAGGGAGAGGAGGAATGCAGGGCCACTCATGGACAGAGAGGAGTGGGGTGAAGGGAGAGAAGACGGCAGCGACAACTTCATTATTCTGAGTGGACTGGGCCACGGGCCAGAGAGACCTATGGGAGATATACTGCCCTGCCCACAATAGCTGGATAGGAAAGAGCAAGTCGAACCCTAGTTCAGGATGCTGTTAATTCCAAATGTGAACTTTCGGAGTCATTCTTTCCATATGAAATTCATAAGAGAATGTTAAAAATGCTTTCAAGGGGAATGTGCAATAACCCTGAAAGATAAGCGAGTTCATACTATTTATTTACAGAAAACGAACAAAAGCTACTTTTACGGGTAATTCTTTTCTAGCCTTTGATTAGACAGGTCTCTAAAGAATTCCAACAGACAACATTCCTTAGTGTTGTTTGTTACATTCAAGAAAGGATTTATGACACATCATGTTAGCATGTTCAGGTAAACTTTTCACCAAGCTCCGAATATGGGATCTTGTGTTGCATCGAACCTGCTCATAACCCATAGGTGGGCAGCAGACGGGATGACCCCTCCACACCCCAGGGGTTGGTAAATGTTCCCACTTATTGAAATCTCTCTTTCCCCCTTCCCCCAAAGGGCAGGCTTTTCTACCTCAGGGAGGAAGAGAAACATAGAGCACAATGATGGGGACCTGCCAGATGGGCGAAAGAAGCTGCCTTCCAGCGCTGGGGAGGACCGAGCCATGCTGCTGGGGTTCACAATGATGGGCTGCGCAGTTCTAATGTTCTTCTTGTTTGGAGTAACCATCCTAAAGCCTTTCATGCTCAGGTAAGACACAGAGAAGGACCCAGAACTTCCAGGTCAGATGAGATGCAAGCACAATGGTAAGGGATGGAATCTGGCTTTGGTTTCTGGAGCCCGGCTGGCTGAGGGCAGAGGAGATGGAATCACGTGTCTCTCCTTTAGGGCCGGGAGGCAGCGGGGTGCGGAGAAAGAGGCAGTAAGAATGTAGAAGATATTTCTCGGCTGCTCCCCAACTCCAACCTCGAAAATACCTTCAACAACTAATCCTCAAATTAGACATTCATGTAGGTAATAAATCCTTTAACACGCCGGGAAGGGTTCATTTAAGCCTTCAACATGAACACAATAAAAGTTTTTGAGTCTGAGTGTTTTGAGTTTGATAATGTTTACCTGGCACATAATAGTTGCTCAATAAATATTAGTTTCCTTCCTTTTAATTAATTCCCTTATATACATATAATAATAGTTACCACTTATTAAATATATAAACATGACAAATATACTATAGTTTTATCCTATTTAAACCTACAGCAAGCCCATGATGGAGGCATGCTTTTAATTTTATAAATGAAAAAGCTGAGGCTCAGAAAAACCAAGTAACTTGCCAAGGCCACACAGCCAGGAATCTGCCTGTCATTAGGATGTAAGACAAGAATGTTCTAATCCTTCGATGAAGTTTGCTGCAATGAAGGGGATGGGTGTTTTGATTCGGGCAGGAGAGGAGCTGTTTAATTTTGGAGAATGGCTCACATAACAGGAAGTACTTTGGGGGAGGGCAGTTCTGGGAAAGCAAGGGCCGGGGAAATGGGAAAAGGGAGGCCTATGAGTTCAGTGAAAAGGGGTCATAGAAGAGGAAGTGGAGGCCTACTTTCGTTATTTATTAGAGTCATCTCCCTCCGTTCCTGTGTTAACATTACTAGGGCAGTAATGTGGAGGTGACGATCCACCACAGCACACAGTGGCACTCTCAGAAGGCTCAGAGGGCATTTTCTATTTGGTATTGGCATTAGAAAATCTGTTCTGCTGCTCATCAACTGGCTTATTTTTATTCAGGGGACACCAATCCTGTACCTGGTTGTGTTTCCTTTATTGGTTTTGCTGCTAAGAAGCTCAGAGCCAAATTTATACATTTGTCATAACTATAAGGGAATTTATAATCTACTAATTACATATTTACTTACCTCACTCTTCATTCTAGCTTTCAACTTTCCTTTTCCTGTTGCTCTATTTTATATCTACCCATATATCTAATCTGTATTACATATGCCTATGTAAACTGAATAAATATGCGTCTGTGCACATGTATGTGTTTCTGTGGTCAGAATATTTTTTTAAAATGTGATATATTTGGGAGATGATTTAAGGATATCTTTTGCAAATTGACATCAAGCTGTTACTCATATTTAAAATTTACTTTCCTAGCCCTGGCTGGTGTGGCTCAGTGAATTAAGTGCCAGACTACAAACCCAAGGGTCACTGGTTTGATTCCCAGTTAGAGCACATGCCTGGGTTGTGGGCCAGGTCCCCAGTACGGGGTGCACAAAAGGCAACCACACATTGAAGTTTCTCTTTATTCTTCCCTTCCCCCCCTAAACATAAACAAAATCTTTTAAAAAAATAAAAAATAAAAGTAAAAAATATATTTAAAAAAATAAAATTTACCTATCTAAGCATTTCTAGAAATTATTTACTTAATTTAGTAAATGCTTAAGTGTGGTGAATTCTCATCTCTCTCTTGCCTCAAATATGTGCCATCAGAGATAAGTCTCATTCCATAAAAGATGATAGTTGAGAGGCTTGGGTAGCTTATGCCTTTCCCCACTCCCTTAATCCCTCATCTCTCAGTCAAATGATGGGTTTTGTCTATTTGTCGACAAATAGACACACAATGCTATTTAAAGAACATGCTCATTTCTTTTTTCCAGCCCTAAATATACCCCTGGTTCCACCTGTAAGGCTCTGGCCTGGCCCTTGTGCATAGCAAAGAATGTCCAGCTCTCTATATTGGAGCTTCCTGAAACCTTCAAGGAAGGTTCAAGTCATAATCCATTTGTCAGTTAGGATTTAGAGAGCTGAAGTTCTAACACAAATAAGCAGGCAATTCTAAATATTATTTTAAGATGCATAGTCTAAATAAGTATAGAAATTACTTTTGTGAAAAAGCAGGCCAGTGCCAAACCTGTGAAAGAACATTATTTTTCATTTTTGCATGTTTACTTGCCCAACATTTTATTCTCCTAGGCCACATCCAGTGATTTTTTTTTTTTAAATGCCCTAGGCCTTAAGATCATGTTAAGCCTGCACCACGTGTCTTCAGGTTTTTTTAAAAATGCTCTGGGCCTTAAGATCATGTAAAACTGCACCAGGTTGGTTATATTAATAAAGCAAAATGATGACTGATGGTCAAAGATCTTAATGAGAGTGCAGTATGAACCTGGATAAACGATGTTTTTCATATATTGACTTTAGGATTTGCTACTCTAACTTCTTGTTATTAAGGCATCAGGAAATAAACACAGGGATCCACTTCAAGGTGAGTGTGCATCAGGAGCTTGTCCTATGCATTCAATCGAAGCAGTCCTCTTATCCTCATTTACTTTATCTTGGACTTGTTCTCTATTTCGTACCTACACGCCCTTTTTTCTTTTTCTTTTTTCTAAGATTTTATTTATTTATTTTCAGAGAGAGAGGAAGGGAAGGAGAAAGAGTGGGAGAGAAACATCAATGTGTGGCTGCCTCTTGCGGAACCCCAACTGGGGACCTGGCCTGCAACCCAGGCATGTGCCCTGATTGGTAATTGAACTGGTGACCCTTTGGTTCACAGGCCGGCACTCAATCCACTGAGCCACACCAGCCAAAGCTTTATATGCCCATTTTCTTCAACACCACCTCAAAGTCCTCATGGACAAGAATTTTGTCTACCACTTCTCACATTGCTGCTATGACACGCTGTGCATGTCATACATATGAAAATTCTTAAGGAATGTTTTCCAAGTAAAACTGAATTCAGTACAATACCTACTGAGCCTTTACTACGTGAGGGGCACTGTGCTTTCAGCTTTGAGGAATATAAAGGTGAACAAGGACATAGGTCCTGACCTCAAGAAATTACCAAGAGCAAAAACATGGTAAGTTTTCTAATGAGAGATTGTATGATTTGCATTTGCCTTTTTGAAAGTAGAGCAGGTAAATGGAATTGTGCTTGGTTACCAGAATTTTTGGAGGCTGCACTGACTGAGAGCCCTGTGGTTGGACTCCTTCCAAAGGGTGCATTTAGGGTGATAAGGTGTGAGAAATGGTATGATTTCTGAGTGTGTGTGAATCTCGTTGGTTGCAGTATTTAGCATAATCTCAACCAAAGTATGGTTTTCCAAATACATGTATGTTAAAAACTATTCAATAGACAGATTCCTGGACTTTAACTCAGATCAACTGAATCTGAATCTTTGCGAGTGAAACATAGGATCCACATTTTAACAAAGTCTTCATCCTAACAAACTCAGATGATTCTGGAGTTTGAAAACCATTGATCTAAGGGTTGGTGTAGTGAGAAATATGCCAGGAGGGTCATAACTGAGATGGAACTTGGCTGTTGGCTGTCTCCACGACCTCCATGCTCCCTTGTCATTGCGCGCCCTCTGTGATGGTCCTCCATTACTCCAAATAGACAAATGTCTTGGGTTACCACAGTAGAAATATAGAACTACATTTTCCAGAGGGTGAAGATCATTTATTTAATATTTTCAAATTGAAGCACTCAGAGAGAAGAATCGAACTGCACAATCATCCACACACGGATCACGGATGACTGGTTGGACTGTTCTTTCGCCTGCGGTGTGTACTGCCAAGGTCAGGGCAAGTACCCTTGTCTTCAGGTGTTTGTGAACCTCACCCATTCAGGGCAGAAAGCTCTCCTACATTATAATGAAGAGGCTGTCCAGATAAATTCCAAGGTAATGTTCTAATTACAAAGTTCTGATTGCAGCAACCCTTTCATGTGAGGCTGTCCCTCACACGGTGCGGTACCCAGAGCCATCTGTAGGAATAAACCTGTCTCCCTCCAGTTAATGTTTTGATAGTGGTCAAATCAGGATAAATAAAGCTAAAAGCATTCTTGGAAGCAAAATGGGGTAAATAGAAAGGGGAAAAACTATTCCAATTTCACAAATTTGTGTCTGAAATTTATAGGCTGAACAGTCATTCTGGGAAGTCTTACTGTTCAAGGTCCCGCTCCCCATTATATCAAAAATGGCAAAAGGTAACCACAGTCCACCTTAAATCAAGCAAGTAATTTTTCTCATCAGAGAAGTTTAAAGGACTATTATAATTTTGATTTTAGTAGGTTACTCAACTGGTTCATATAATTTAAAGTGTACATCTACCCCTTTCAATCAAAGTTGAGTTGTATGAGATTGGTCCACATGTTACACTTTGTTGTCTTTACTTCATCGCTAATTTTATTCATCACTAATTTTAATCTGATGATTTGTTTTCTATTTTGGAGGCAATAATTTTTAAGGTCTCCAACATTTTTATAGGCCATTGGCACAGTGCTTGGAGTGCCTAGTGAATGTGGTATTAAATCTCAAGTTTTTTTTTTGAAAAAATCACCACCTGATAGAGCAGCACCCTTAGCCACTGGTTCTGCCTCCTGGGAACCAGAGCTCAGGGAGGGCGCCTCTCAGTGGACCTAGGACAAAAGCCAGAATATGCTAATCCTTTAGGGAAAGATTTTACTCCAGGAAATCAGAAAAAGACAATAAAGAGATTAATAGGTGGTGAAGGCCCATAGAAAGCTCAACAAATATTTGTTGAATGACAAATGGATTGAGTTACCGTCCAGGAAGAGACCCAGGACATGCACGTCAGGAACGCGGTCCTTATGAAGTTGGTCCCTGCCTATTCTGCAATGTCTGTATTCTAAAAGCTTTCCCACATCCCTGCTTAGTGCCTGGAAAGGGTGGTTACACTCTGTGCCCTCCTGCCAACCCTTCCCCATAAGCTATGTAATAGGTTTCGTCACCATCTGAGGCTGAAACTCCCCACTAATAGCTTCATTTTGAAGCTATTTCAGAATTAAAACTGTTAAGTGCTTGATATCGGGAAGAGTGTCCTCATCTTTTCTCCTTCTCCATGTTCCTAGTGCTTTTACACACCCAAGTGCCACCAAGATAGCAGTGATCTGCTCAACAGCACTCTGGATGTGAAGGAGTTCTTTGATCACAAAAATGGGACCCCCTTTTCATGCTTCTACAGTCCAGACAGCCAATCGGAAGATGTCATTCTCATTAAAAAGTATAACCAAATGGTTATCTTCCACTGTTTCTTTTGGCCTTCACTGACTCTGCTGGGTGGTGCCCTGATTGTCGGCATGGTGCGATTAACACAGTACCTGTCCCTGCTCTGTGAGCAGTACAGCGCTGCACTCAGGGATGAGGTAGGTGGCAAAGTGCCTTTTAGGGAACAGCATCGATTCAAACTGTGGGGTGTGGGGAGAAGCAAAGGGTGGAGCCGAGACATCTCAAGATGGTGGCCAAATTGAAGTCCTGACCTTCAGAGACCTGCGATTTCTGCACTTGAGGACTTAATTATGCTCGCTTGCGGATTAACCACAGGAGACAGTTAAGTATGATATGGGAAGGAAACAATAAAAGTCTCATATGTAGTCTACTTATTTTATAGATACATACATATTCACCATCTTTTCTGCCCCAAATCTCTTTCCACGTGAGCCAAAGCAGCATGTTTTGTTCTCACATGGTAAAATGAGCTTGAGGTAGTTGTCCCTTATCTAGTGTCAGCTCTAGCTAGAACTTGTCAATGTGGAAATAAATGATGAGGGTATCTAACCTACTGAGTACTGAACAACCAGTCTAGTTCTATGCAGTATAGTCCACATTAAAACATTTCTCAGAAAAATTCTGGGTGAAGAACAGTTCATTCCCTATAGGAAAATAATAACCTGGTAATCTAAAAACATGGATTTGCCATTTTACTTCACCATGCATGAAAGGGAAGCTTCTGCTTCAAAATTTCACTAAGTTTAGAGTTATTTGTACTTTACCATGTACCATGAATTTTTCTTTCAGCAACATTTTATAGTTAATCGTGCTTTCCATAAGCTCGCATTGTTTTTTGTGCACTTTCTGGTGAGAGTGGGAAAGATGGCTAGAAATGTGTTGTGAAATAGGGAGAAACTGTATTGGGTGAAATTTAACATTTGTCTCAGGTAATCTGCATTGCAGAAAAGTCCCACATGGATACTCAACAACTGTGCATACATTAATTGATGAATCAATGGTGGTTATTAAATAATGAAAATCACAAGACTCACCCAATAGGTTCTTTCCAGATTAAGCTGAATATGAGTTGAAAAGTTTGTTCTGAAAACCGATGTACCTTAGTTTTAAAATTTTCCTTAAAAAAACTTACTTCATAGACAATAGAATCAGACTTGAAGCAACTTTTGCATGTAGATGTAGTCAAATCAGAAACTTTGATCTTAAGCCAATTTGATGCCTTTTAGAAATTTTAAGCCACAAATTACTAAGTAAACTGAATAATCAAATTGAACACTGACTTGACCAGTAATGAAAAATTTTGGCATTTTCTCCTCTTTCTGGTGTGGAGTGGTGGAGAGAAAGTGTGTCTCAGAGTAAGTTATTTGAGTTTGTAGGCCGTAATTACAACTTTTTGGGTAAGTATCCGTGGGCAATTCAGCTCTATTGTTAGAGCCCCTCTCTTTTCATCTATAATTTTATAGATGTCAACATTTGGGATATCATCTTTCATGAGGTTATTTTAGGGAATAAACACAGTATGTATAACACCTAGCGTAGTTTCCGGCACCTAGTAGAAGTGCTTAAGAATGTAGTAGATAACAAAAATATTCTGCAAGTTTCAATATTCAGTCAGTCTTATCCCTCTCCTGGCTATATATCCAAAGGAAGGCAGTTAGTACCTCCAAGAGATAGTGGCGCTCTCATGTTCACTGAAGCATTATTCACAACAGCCAAGATAGGGAAATAACCTAAGTGTCCGTCGATAAAGAAATAGTAATTATAGATATATTGTGTGTGTGCGTGTGCGTGTGTGTGTGTAATGGAATATTATTTAGCCTTAAAAAAGGAATTCCTATTCGCAACACAAATGAATCTGGAAAATATTATGTTAAGTAAAATAAGCCAGACACAGAAAGGAGAAAACTGCATTTTACTTGCATATATGTAGAATCTAAGAGTCGAATCCATAGAAACAAAGAGTAGTACAGTGGTTATTAGGGTAGGGAGGTGGGGGAGATGTTGGTTAAAGGGTACAAACTTTCAGTTATAAGATGAATAAATCTAGAGATTTAGTATACAGCATGATGACTGTAGTTAATAATACTGTCTTGAACACTGGAAATTGGATGAGTGTAGATTTCAGGTGTCTTCATCTCAAACACACAGTAACTGTGAGATGGTATGTTAATTAGCTTGACTGTAGTAATCATCTCACTATGTATATCAAATCGTTCTATTGTATACCTTAAATATATACAATTCTTATTAAAAATAAAATGTCCAGAATATGCTGTTTAAAAGGTTGTGGTAGCCCTGGCTAGTGTGGCTCAGTGGGTTGAGTGCTGGCCTGCCAGCTGAAAGGTCACTGGTTCGATTCCCCCATCAGGGCACATACCTGGGTTGCAGGCAAGGTTCCTGATTGGGGGTGTGTGTGTGAGGGGCAACCAATGGATGTTTCTCTCCCACATTGATGTTTGTCTTCCTCTTTCTCCCTTCCCCCTCTCTCTAAAAAATAATAAATATTTTTAAAAAGGTTGTGGTAAACTCTTTTGTATGCCAGAGACTTCCCTGTAATAAAATATATGTACATATACACATTTTAAATCATTCTGCAAATTGAGTTTCTGTAGTTTTTGTACATTAAGGGCATATCTTTATTCCATTTCTTAATAAGCTTGGCATCCATCTAACAATAGGCAATTCTTGGGATTTTTCTCCCAAAAACAAATTCAAAACCACTAATTTGAAACCTAGAATATGTAAAAGTGTGAAACCTAAAGTGTTGCAATTCCTACGGTTTTCTATTTGTATAAATGGATACTTGGTTCATCTCAGGAAAGAGAGACATTATGCTTGGAGAACAAAGTCAATTTAGAACAATGTTAATTCAGTCACTCAAATCACCTGACGAATAAACAAGATTTAAGCAATCATTTCCTGTTAATTGCTTAGAAATACTAAGTGTCAATGCCCACGTGCATTGTGGGTCCAAGAAGAGCTCAGACTTACCTTTTGCAAGGTTTACATGAACTGAAAACAAAACCAGTCTGTTTCTAATCTCTTTTTTAGGTTCTGTTCTTCAACTTACAAAAAGGCCCATTTACACATACAAACACATTCATTCATGTATGTGTATACATATATTTCTGCTTAAAACACAAGCATATCATTTTTTATGCTTAAAGGAAGTTAATATTTAAACAGATATTTCTCTGATACTCATCACTTTACTGGGGTGGAAAAACCGGCTTTTAAGGCATAATAGTTTCAGGTTTTCATTCAATGTTTCTTAGTCATTATTGATAAGAACTCAAATTCAGCTAAAATTTAATTATTAGCAACACTGGTTTGCTTTTAAGTATTCAAAAGGTTACAAAATATAATTATCACAGTTTTTTGATTAAAGTACATAGTACAGTAAGGATTGTTTGGACACAAGTCAAGGTAATTTTTTTTTTTTTTTTAATAAACAGCGTGATGTTACAGACTGCGAAGTTAAAGAAAAAGCAGACATTGACAGTTTCTGATGAGCACAAACAGTAAGTGCAGCCACAGGCCAAACTTCTTGCCAGGAACAGCAAGAGTGGGAAGAGGTCTTAAATTTAGTGACACTGTATTATTCTATATTCTCAGCACAATAACACATGCATCTTGCTGTGTCAGATATTTTTTGGGCCCTCATTAAAAGAACATTTAAAAACATTTTTCTCCTAACTAATACAGTACACCACAGGAATTCAATTCATTGAATGACAAAATATAGAGAAATAGATTTGCTGCAATAAATGGGGCTAAAAAGGGTGGTGGGAGCTACTTTTAAAAACTTCCGAAGTCAACATTTGGTGTGTTAGTAGTAGTTTTTTGGTAGTGCCACAATCCCCAAGATGTTGAAATGCTATGTTCCAAAAGGATATAGTCTTTTAGATTTAATTCAACTCAACTAAGTCCAAAGACTGAATCAGATTTTAACCACCGGTTGCATTTGAAACTTAGGTCCTATAACCAAAAACATTTCTAGAAATCAGATGAAGGCCAACTTCTCCAACTCCTCTTAGGAACATAAATGAAATATGGTAAGAGGCTTTTTCTTATGAGATCAGTGGATAATGATCACATTTAGAAATTTACACTGGAATAAAGAAAGGAGTTCAGCCTTATTAAAGGTATTTTGAGATAATATCAAAGTTGGTTTTCTGCCCCCTTGCTCATCTAGAAGAATGAAAATAGGAATCACGTAAAAATGTACATGGCTCTTAGCATAACCACAATATTATTGTAGTGGCAGATTAAATATGATTTTATAGATTCATAGACTCATAGACTTAAATAGCTTACAAAATGCATCAAAGAAAAGCCCCTTTCCATACTTACCAACATGAGGAATGGAGTCTATGGTTGGTAGTGAGTCAGTTACCCAACTGTGCTAAGTGTACAGGGGACAGATTTTCTGATTTTATTTTTTTCTCCGTGCTAAAACTCATATGTAGTTGTGTAAAAATTGTCAGAAAATTTTCTTATGGCTCTTAACTGTCACTTTATGCTAGCAAGCATGGCTGTAATATGAACATATCTAAATTATTAACATAGCTAAGCAAAAGGAATGGTGCTGCACTGATAAAAGGAAGTGCAAAACTTGAATCAAGTGGAATACTTGAATGAAATAAGCTTATTTAAAAACTAACATCCCAACTTGGGAAACTCCTAATGAATTCTAAACTCTTCTGAATTTTAGAACCTTGATGTTTACACCTTTTATAAAAGATGCCTCTTGACTAGAGCTAGCAAGCAGTGTGTATACAAATAGAAATGTGTGCAAATATACACACACTCATTTTACTAATAATCAAGAAAAGAGAACACAACTAATTTCAAATATTGAATTCAAGAACCTAGTACCACGAACCTCCTAGCACTATCACCTTTTCCAAATGGCTGGAGCAATAATTAAGTCTTTATCCAAAATTTTTTCTTAATGTCTCCAAAGCCATTAAAAACAAGGCATGCCAACTATGACTTTGTAAATCTAAAATACAGTGCTCTGCACATTTCTGTAGTATCAGAGCCTGAAGTATTGAATTGTGACTCATCTGTTTTTTTCCTTATTAACCTTCTGAGGTAGTTACCAATCCAATTTTTATCCGGACCATAGGTATCTTGAGCTAATCCCTAAATGCTTTTCAGAAAATGAACATAACTTTTAATAGAAAAGAAAAAAGGCTTCCCAGGCCATGGCACGTAAGATACATTTACAGTTTTTAATGTAGTAATTAAAAAAATGGTTTGTGTTTATATTTAAAAAACAGCCCAGCTGTATTATTCTGTCATCAAGAATTATGATCTGAGAATCCTGTCAATGCTGAATTTTTTAGTTCAGCCTTCACAATCCCATCCTTGATGAAGAGTTAATTCCCTCACGGTATGCACAAGATACTCTCACAGCGTTTAGTCTTCTCTAGTGCCCACTCTGAGCAGGATAGGAAGAATGTAATTCATTCAAACAACTCCTCCCTGTTGTGCTCCCTCCCTCTGCACTTCCCTCTTCTCAATCACATCTGAAGTATGAAAGTTGTTTTTAAATAGTAGAAGCACCACAATCCATTAACACCACATATGGCCTTTAAACTGAAATACTATAGTGATGTCTTGGATGTCAAAATCAACTTTTTAAGGTGGTTTCTGAGTGTGTGGGTCCAGCCCAGGTCTGCTCTTGCAGACACAGAAACAAAAGAAACGTAACATTCAGAAAAATGACTATTTAACCTGCTGGCTTTAAAATAACGCTACAAATGAAAGTTCTTCAAAGAGCTGGCAAGCATGGGCTGTTGGTCAGGATACAAATTAAATGGATTTACAAAATCATTAAGAAACAAATCCAAGTTTATATGCTATGACATTTCCACAGTGCCTTTAGAGTAGACAGGCTGCCTATAATTTTTTATAGTGCCAAAGCGCGCCAAGTTTTGATGGGAAAGAGAATACAGATGGACTGTGTTTTACTTATGCAAACATTACCAATCCACTTAAAATAAAATCCAAGAGGGTATATACATTCTCATCAAGTCATTGATTATTTTCCTGATTAATAAGAACTACACTTTACACAAAATACTTTATCAGCAGCTGTTTTCATCAAAAAACCAATAGTCATAGTTTCACAGTTGAAAAAGTTACACATTAAAATATTTTACAATTCATTGTATATTCACCAGGTTCCCATTTCCTAAAGGGCTTGTAATATAAAGCAGAGTAGAAGGGAAAACCTCAAAGTTGATTACTTTGACACTAAGTTTTACACAGGACACTAAGAACCACAAAAAGCTTAGGTTCTATCATAAAATAGATACCAAGTTCCATTCTTGATTATAAAATCCAATTAGAAACATTTTTTTAAAACCAAAATCCACAATATGATTAACAGATTCAAATTAACAGCAGTCTAAAAATCTTCAAAATAAACATTTTTGTATAGCTGAGAATATGACAAAAAGTTAAAGCATGATTTTCAAACAGTTGATTATTTCTTCCCAGAATGTGTTTAAGATTAGGTTTTATTTTCTTTAAACCTGCTTTTCCCCCCTCCAGAATAGTCATTGAAGGAAATATTGCTCAAGTGACCAAATGAAACTGTAGAGCCAACAGTCAGTTATACCACATTCAATGACAGATGGTTTGCCATAGGAACTGATCAATCGGAACTGATACCTCATAGTAGAGTACCTGGAAGTGACTACATTGTCACTGATTTGAAACATATCCTAGTCACCCATGCAGTGTCTAATTGTTTTTGGTTCTTTGCCTCTGAGAACTACTAGTCCCTTTTTTCTTATTTTTAATGCTGTTTGCTTAAACTCTGCCTAGATTTGTTTAAAATTTATTTTGCTTTTAGCTAGATCACTTAATCTATATTCTTTATAAAATTTGTCTACATTTCTCAGAAAGGCTTCTTAATTTGGTTTTAATAACTCTTAAAAATAAATGTCAATGATTAAATAAAGTATGTGACCTTATTTTAATGGTGGAGAAGTCCCAGGGAAAGGGGACTATCTGAACTGATGTGGAAAATGCTAAATTGTATCAATTTTATGCAAGGAAGCTCAAAGTTTTTTTTGGCACTCGGGTGAAACATGGTTCTCTGTTAAAACTTCAGTTTTCATCATCAAAGTTTCAGATTTGTACCATTTCGCTGAATTTTCCTATAATCAATCCCTGATATAGAGAAGACTGGGATGTTAGTACATATTATAACTGAATAGATCTAAAAGACACAAAGTGTTAATCATGAAGTTTTAATAAGTTATGAATCTTTTATATCTGCAAAAGAACCCATTGGTTTCCTGCTTAAAACAGAGTTTAAGTTCTTCTTAACTATTCCAAGACAGTTTAGAGAAATAAGTTCCCCTAATCTTCAAATTTATTTTACTCATTGGCAATATTATATACATGCTTTAGTGAAGTACCTAAATCTCCAATAATTATGCCCTTTAAGGGTTCTAAAAATAGCCAAATATTAAGAATATTTGTATTAGAGTCCTTGTTCACTATTCAAGACTTTTACTATAGGTAACTGATTTAATAAGTGAAAGTTTTTTAAGTGATGCTGTTTCACTAGAGGATACAATGTGCACTCTTTATAAAGTTGTATTCCAATAATATGCCTAATCTAGAAAACTGTCAGTAAATTATTGCACTTTTTCTGGTGTGGCACCTGGACATTTGCTAAAGCTATTTCCTAGGGCATTAATAATTCATTTCAAATACTGAGTGAAATACTGGATTCTGGAGTGATGACTAGCATTAGCCCCTACATTTTGGGTTAATGTTTTTCAAAATGTTTAAGAATGTATCCTGTGCTCAAATGCAATTTGATAAAGTTGGAGAGTGAGCCCTGACAACTTGGAAATGGGACATGATCTTAAAATGGTTTAAAGTCCTACTTTTATTATTGAGATATTGGATAAATAGCCCAAAATGGTGAAAAGTTCATGGTTTCTATTTCCCCATATTATAAAGTATTATTCATGAGCATACCTCAGTAGAGGGTTTAAGCAATCAGGAATATACTCTAAATTTTATTAATTTTGGTAACTAATTTCATATGATTGAGGCATTCTGAACTATAAAAGAAGATGGAAGATGGGGGATTCATTTAAAAACAGAAAGAAAAGGAAAGAGAATAAACTTTAATCTGTTTTCTTTAAGTAGTTATTCACTAGTATTGGTATAAATGGGATAGTGCCTGGCCTTATCCACAGACCAAGAGAAGAGCTGACCATGCTGATATGAACAATAAAAAATTTGGGGTGCAAAACAATGCATGACTATGGGACAGATCATGAAATAAAGAATATATATTAATGATAGTTTCTATAATATAAATAGCCTTTAATAAAAAAAATAATCTTTTTAATAACATTAATACTCACTTCTATTTTCTGGAAAACATGCATGAAAAATGTATTCAATTCATTTGCAAAAAGAGAAAAAAATCAACCTAAGGTGAATACTGTACAATTCTGGAACAAGAACTAATCCTGCTTTCTTTCTCTGTGATGATTATTTTACTTTATGGGTGCCCAGAATTTCCCTGGGAAGTAAGAATCAGATTCTTGTAAATACTGTCCAGAAAAAAAAAAACAACCAAAAAACCACCCTATAACAGGTCTCATTTGTGACTGCTTCCAAAACTTTGCAGATTAAGACCCCAAATTGTCAAAAAGGTTTGATTTATTAAAAAAGAAAGGTCTGGTGAAATCTCAAGAGTCCCTTCCACCCCAAGCATTTTTCTTCATTAAACAAGGAGTCAAAAAACCCACTTCAAACTATAAGTTGAACAGCAATGAAAAAATAAGAAATTTCATTATTCCCTATCTTAATGTAATTTAACATCAAACTCCAGTTTACTTGGACCTAATGCAATAATAGACTTCGTGTGTCCACATTTCAAAACATAGAACATTTGCAAGTCAAAAAAAGAACATTCTTTTTCCTTCTCCATCATTTCTATATATTTTGGGTTTTTTGTTTTGTTTTTTAAAAAAAGATACAAACAATCTTTAAAGTTTACCTTTTTGGACTTAAGGCATAACATTAAGTTGCGCATTATTCTAAAGCTTAATTTTGAAATGAACTAGTTTAGTGCTATCAAACCCTGTTTGCGTTTGCATTATTTAAATTATATAGTATTTTATTTCTGTTCTTGCTGTAAATTCTAATGCTGTTCATGGATTGTGCAATTCCTATGCAATCAGTCTTTGCCTGTTGACAGTTATTAACAGTGCAGAATAGAATCCAATATTGAGCTTTCAGTTTCTTAGTCATCATTTCAGTTCAAAGCATGCTGCTTAATGGTGTGGAAGATCCAATCCATTTTTGTTGTCCAGCCACCATGATGTGCATCATTCATTTGTTTCATGAAATATTCCAAAGCCTCTTGCTCAGTTTTATCTAAAGCTAGGGTCTTTCGAATGTATGCAATATCATCAAAAGACTGTAGTTCTGGCATTCCAGAGCCAAGCATCATTGAGAAAAGATTTATGAAGAGATTGGCATGCTGCCGAATGGCTAGATAAGCCTTGTAACACATCTCCTGAAACCTACAAGTAATAAGAACAGTTGGGTCAGTACCAAGCAAATGGCATTAATACCTTCAGGTCTTTGCTGAAACGTCACACCATTAGAGAGACCTTCTTGAACAAACCTATAAAAAAATAGCATTCCTCTCCCCAATCCCTTTACCCTTCAAGAGAAAGTAAACTCCATGAATCCATAAGGACTTTGTTTAACAGCTTTATCACCAGCACTTACAATAATCCCGGGCACATTAGGAGTTTAATAAGGATTTACTAAATGTATAAATTAATCCATTTAAGGTTTAGTCTAGGGTCAGGACAGAGTTATAGATAAAATAAAATTTTATAAAAGGTTTTAAAAGTGTTTTTAAGATTTAAGATAGACTACTGATATACCATAAGGCGAGAAGAGAAATTATGAATAAACATGATGATTAGTTGACTGAATTCTTCAAATTGCATGACTGAAAAATGTCTTAAGCACTATACATTATTTGTCAATATAGAGAAGGTGGAGTCCAAATATTTAAACAGCAGTAAGTAAAAGCTTTACTGTATTATGAAGTTTAAGAATCACTTTCCCTTAATGGACTAAATAGTTTTTTTCTATATTTTTTACAACATTACACAATAAATAAAATTAATACATTAAAATAGTTTACGCTACAATGTTAATATAACATATATTACTTAAATTGACTGAAAAATATTAATTGTTTTTATATAGCAGCAAGAATTCTTTATTTCATACTTTTGATTTCTTGGGCTTACCTCTCAAATTCCCTTGTCTTTGTGCATTCTTGGGCTCCTTTACTAATAACTATTAAGAAATCTTGTGTCAAAACAAACGGTACACGTTCCCGTTTATAACCAAATTTTTTCTTCTTGTGATCCAAAAAGTGTCCAAAATCTATATGAAACAGCTTTCAAAAATAAGAAATTATGTTATAGTTTGATAAATGCAGAAGTACAATATGCTGAATTAATATATTTAAGAACATCAAAAGTTTTTTAAAAAAGAGAAAGCTATTACTTGTCCATCATCTTTAACCATGATGTTACTATTGTGACGATCTCCAATTCCCAAAATGAAGGTCGCGACACAATATCCAGCACATGAACGTGTAAACAGATCAATGGCCGCATCATATCTACAAAGAAGAAATAAATTCTTTGAGTACTGTGGAAATATAGAGTGATCCAGTGCAAACTGGGAAAAGAGGGTCAAGTCTGTATTAAAACAATGAAAACAATCACTGACTTTAGGGGGAAGAGGTAATTATGTCCAAAGATGTGAGAAGTTTGGAGATTCTGAAGTTTTCAAAGGGTTCTAAGGACATTTCTAGATATTCTCTGACCAAAGCACAATTCTTATTACAGTGAAAAAATATTTTTGTGCCATTAAAATGAAATTTTCCTAATAATTGTAACAATAAACTAGAAGTAAATTTTAATGTGCAATGTTAATTTTTCTATAAAAATAAGCAATAAGAAAAACACCTTTTAGATATCTAAGTCAAATGTACAGGATTTCACTAAATTATAAGCAACTCTGATCATTTAAATATAAATAATCTCAATCAAATATGTCAAAGGTTGAACGTATTTTTTCCCAAAGTAAGTACAGTTGTTTTCTCTGGTCTAACTAAGAAATATACTCGACCATTAAAAGATCTAACAAAAACTTAGATTAAATAGGAAGAAAAAAAACTAGTAAGCTCACATTTCTCCTTTGTTCTTGTCCTTGAGCCACTGATGGAGCGTGTGGCTGTTGAACTGCAGCGCACCTTTCAGGCCCCCTTTGCACTGAATCTGCATGATGGTGTGAGAATTTCTCACCACCTCAATAAGTCCCACACAGTCACCAATTGACAGACAACCATAAGGTAACATTCTGAAAAAGGATCAAGACCTTGCAATTAAATGATGGCATTTTGTAATAGCAAATATTTTGATAGGTTAATACAGGAATATTCTAGTATTTTCAAATTTGTCATGTTACTCACTTAACCTAACTTTAATCTTCTTTTACTATAGTATGATATTCCTAGAAAAATTCTCAAAATTATCTGCCATCATTTATTACAGCCTTCAGTTGAGAAAGCATTTAATTATGTATCTGAAAATCATTGAGAAAATTATTGTGGCAATTAAAATTTCATAAACATTTGTAATTTAAAAATAAGGATGAATTTAAAGATGTTTAACTGACATCTAATAATACTTTAAGGCAGCAGTTTCAAATTTTTGGTCTTACAACTCATTTATACTCTTAAAATTACTGGGCATCTATTGATACTAGGAAGTAAAATGAAGAAAATAAAAATTAAAATATTTATTAACTCATTTAAAAATAAACTATGATAAGGTAATATAAATGACATCTACTATAACACAAAAACTGTATTAAAAGAGTAACACTGCTTTCCATTATTGCAAATTTCTCTAATGTCCGGCTTAACAGTCCCGAGCTGAGCTTCATGTATGCTTCTGTAAGCAATCTCATGCAATATTCTAATGGAAGGAAGCGTATGAAGGAAATCTGGCCCCACACAGATTATGTAATGTGAAAAGGAACATTATAATAGCCTTTTCAGATAATTGTAGATATTTTTGATACTATTGCAAAGCTTGACAAGAGATAGGTTTTCAAGTTGCAATATGGAATCTGAAGCCGTATCAATAAACTTTTCATACTCTGTCACATTAAAATCCATTTGTCTGCCTTGCCTGTGAATGGAACTTTTACCCTTGTATGACTTCTATATGGGTCATTTGGAAGATATTAGTTTATTGTGTTATGGAGGTCTTTCAAACGTTGATACTTTTCATTACACCAACTAAAAAATCACAACTGTCAATACAGGGGTGGGCAAAAATAGGTTTACAGTTGTGAGTATGTGAAACAGTTTATTCATTTATTATTATTATTATTAATTATGGTATTATTTTCCATCCTAACAACTATAAACCTACTTTTGCCAAACTCCGTATAACCACTGATCTCATCAGAGAAGTCTTTTAATTTTGGGGATGATGTTAGGCTTCTACTGGGTGATAGGAAATTCAAAATTCTAATTTTTGCTGGAAAGCTTAAATTTGACAATTAATAACAAATACTGTTAGTTGTTCTCCTTGAAGAGAGAGGCTGGTATTGTTCATTTTCAAGAAAATGTCTCCCAAATACCCATGTCTGAATAACCACAAATTGTCTGTTAGTTATTCTTCAAGTAAAAATGGTATTCCATGAAAAAAGTAGCTAGTTCATCTCAAAATTCAAATAACTCACAAACATTTGTCCTTGATACAGCCATACTTTGGTGGTATGTGACAGATGCGCATTTTGGGTACTTCCTATTCATCAGACAGTATATTAAAAAGAACATGCACTCAAGGGTAGAGATAGGAGGACTTAAGGAGAAAATGAAAAAGCACCTAACACCCAAAATGGCACGTAAGTACTAAAGTATGGTTTTTCTTGCTCTGTTGTTCTCAAAAGCTACTGTCTGCTCTTTCCACCTTTCTAAATAGAGTAATAGTTTGTACTTATTTTCCTTTTCTCATTTAATTCCTTGTAGCCTAACTTCTCCACCTACAACTTTACTTACTTAGCAATTTTTAAAGCTAACCATGAATCATCAAATCGAAGGGCGTTTTCATAGTCCTCATGCTCTTAAATCCCCTGAAGTACCTGACATTACAAATTGTGAATCTCTTCCTCTCTTTGGAGTTCTGTGAATCACTTACTCAGGTCCTCCTACCCTTTTGAACATTTCTCTTATGGAACCTTTTCTTCTACCTGCCTTGGTAAATGCAGGAATCTCTTGAGGTTGTACTCCTGCTCATTCTGTCTTATTTTACATTTTATTACTGTTGAATATGCTCAAAGCTTAGAGTCACATAGTCCTGTAAAGCTTGTTGTCGGGGGTGGGGGGGCAGAAACCAAGCAGAGTTACCATAAATCTGAACTAAGTTTTGCCAAGTATAAATAAAAATGTTATGATTTTATTTAAAATTAAACTTTAAACAAAAAATTTTACTTAAATTTACTTAAGTTACAAGAAAAATATTTACAAAATATTATGACTTAAAAACTTCCCAACGATCCAACTGACTTTCCAATGACCTAGTTTAACTTTAGATGCCTTTTTGCACAGTCACTAATTTACAATTAAATACTGTAATTACCAGAGTTACAGAGTTAAATCTTTTCCTTTACTGACTAGTTCTGTATTCTCTTTTGTGCTTTATTCCCCTGGGGGTGGTAGTAGTAATGGCATGTGGATCTCTCACAACACAGGAAATTGCACCAAAAAAGGAAACTTGATTTGTGTAACAGTAATTGTTTTTGGAAAACAGCAGGGATCAAGCAAAGAATTAGGAGTAAAAGTTAAAATTGGTACCTAAATTTTGTGATTTGGCAGGTTACATTTGATGTGTCCATTTTTCTTCTTTGCAATAAAAAGGGTTCCACTGTTTGGCATTGATACACTTTTATATACTAGCTATTTCTTAACCTATAGGAAGCACACAAAGAAACCCTAATCTACTCTGTGCTATCCCTAGAATTGATCCCTATCTCCTACACCCACTTATAGACAAAAAATACTTTTGGAGGGTGGTCTTTGCCTGAATGACTTTAGATATGCAGAGTAAGAGAAGGACAAACCATTAGATGCAAAAATCACTAGATGATGGCACATGATAGAAAACTTGGGAGATAATACTTATAACTGCAGAAGGCTGGCCAGAAATCAACAGAATGGCAAAAACTGTAAGATTAGTTGCTTTCATATTTTTTCCTGCAAAATTGATTCAAGATTCGAGGATGTAGAAAGTTTTAAAATTAGAAAACTTATATTAATAAAGAAACTTTCTTCTAAACTTTTAACTTGTGAAAGAAAACAGGGACGGCTTCTGTCTCCCATGTCCTGTTCTTAAGGGTGTTAATATAGTGACACTCGAAAGGTCGGTGCAGTCTTGACCAGCTTACAAGAGATAGCTCTTCTTAACTAGCTGAATCTCATTAGTAATTCTAAGCCAAAGAGGACAACAAAGGAAATACCATAATAGAATCACCTAGTGCTCATTTCTACTCCAAACATTTCTTTATAGTTAGATGCCTCTACATGCTTTGTAATTAATATTTACTAATAGTTTACTTTTTCAGGATAACTTTCAACTATGTGATACCTTATATATTGGTTACATACCGAAGATCAAGACCTTGATTTTGCCAGATATTTTCCATAATGCGAATAATTTGAAGTGTTAGCATGTCTTGCCGTAAATCTGAAATTCAAATAATATGTATCACCACTTAATGCAATAACTGCAAATTTGGGTATCAGGTCATCACATTGTTTTCAAATGATAAATATACAGAGCTATATTTACTCTTCAAAATAATCTGTCAGGAAGCAATACTTTGATTCTTTAACTCATCTCTAAAGTATCTGCATAACTCATCTATATAATGATCTAGGATAAGCTATTTTATAAACATTTTAAACTGAAACATTTGAAGTTCTTATTTTCCTGAATCCTTACATTTGAAATGTTCATATTAAAATATCAGGTTAACAGAATTCAGCGCTGAAATGTCATTTCCCAATGGAAGCCCATTAATGAGCCTCTTCTCCAAGTAAATTAGGGCCTTCTTTTATATGATTTCTTGGTAGGCTACACTTTCTCTTCATACCATGGTTGTAATTTAATTTTTATAATTATTTGTTTTACATCCCTCTTTTCCCTGTTAGACTGTAAGCTTTAAGAGGGCACAGGTGCTGTTTTGTTTATGCTTACAACCCCCACTATCTAGCACATCAAATATTTATGGAATGAATGGATGCTCTCACAGCTAAACAAATGCCAGAAACTGATTTAGGCTTTCCGATTCTAAATCAGTACTTCTTTTCAATAATTATACATACATATTCTAAAGGTTAACATCTGCTTAATATTATGTATTTTACCACATGCATATTCCCTAAATAGCCTTCATGGTTCATAAATACCCTGTATATAAAAAGAGAACTAAATTCATGCATCATAAGTTCATTAATACTCTTCCTTACCATCCCCATTTTTAAAGATGATCTCATTGTTCTGAAAGAGTAACTCTGACATGATGTCTGGGTTTTCCCAATTCAACCACAGTGGCCTTTTTGCAGAAGACATAATGCGACACTCTTCAAGCCTTTAAAATAGTTAAAAACTTTACTAGGCACTTTAGCCTTGTTATTGTTTTACCCCAAATTAATTTTAAAATACATACATAGTATATATAGCTTTCTGAAGTGCTATAAAAATTTAAAACTTTCTATTCAATTTTATTTATGAATTCATTTTTAAGGGATTATAAATAGAAAATAAACATTAAGCTTAAAAACTTCTTATATAATAGCATATGAATTTCCAACAAATATATGATGCATTATTAGTTTTACAGATATTACATTCCATTTCTTATCCTATGATACCAGAAACTCTGAACCTAGAGTGTTTTGAACTCCATTATTAGAGTAGTAAAACTCATTCTGAATAAATGCAGTTCTGAACTTAACATTTTACGACTCTTACTTTGCAGGGTAGGAGAATGGGAGAGGGAAGCATAGAGAGGGTGGGGCAATAGCAGGTTTACAATTGTTCATATGGCAAATAATGCAACAATTAATAAATAATACAAGAATAAACTGTTTCTCATACTCAAAACTGTAAATCTACTTTTGCCCCACCCTGTGTAATTGAACATTCTAATTACATTTTGACTTTTCTTAAGATTTTTCTCCCAAAAGGGTACTTATTTAAATATATCAATAAAACTTCCAATAAAGTACCTTACCTGAGATTTCCTAACTGATGTGCAGGGTTTAGAGGAGACAGAAAGCCCTGTAGAGCATCCATGAAATCTGGTCGCCGCATTTGCTCAACTAAAAACTTCATCTGTACCTGGTAAATTAGTATAATCATGGTTAGGGACATGGTTAGGTTACCTTTTATGATTTCATAAAAGGTAAAACTAACTGCTCATTTTTTTTATACACTGGAAACTCAGCCTTTGACTCTGTATCTTGGCCTGGCAGCTTTCTATATGAAGGGTTTCTGTAACACAGAGCAGCACAGCTCAGGCAGAGAGGCAAAGAGGGGCAGCACCAGGCACCTTCCTGGGAGAAGGCTCTGCAGGAGGACAGAGGCAATGTTTTGGCGCTGAACAAGGCGTGGTCAACTACAACAGGTCAGTGGCCAGTTTTTGTAAATCAAACTGCACTGAACATAGTCATGACCATTCATTTAGACATTGCCTGCTTTCACACTAGAATATCAGAATCAAGTAATCACAAGAGTCTGCATGGCCTGCAAATGTGAAGTATTTACTATTTGGCCTTTTAAGAACATTATATTCACTCTCTTTCTGTTGGGTAGAAAAGGTCAAATGAGGCTAAAAGGAATTGTTGGGAAAAGGACTTGTAAAAATATTTGTTAACTGAGTCCCACACTATACTGAGGTTCTAGTATATAGTTAGAAAGAAACAACTCTTTTTATTCAATTCAAACCAGAGCCCAGACTGCTGAACTATCATGCAATAATTGCTATTTTATTTTAGAAAACCTCTATATATTGAAGATATAAAATGTGAGTGGGGAAAAATAGAGTTTAGGACCTAGGAATTCATAATAAACTTATTTTCATGCTGAAGTCTGAGTAACAAGGTTTTTTTTTTTTTTCTTTTCCTTAATACATGTAAGTGAATAGTTAGAAAATCTAGTCATCACTGACTGGGGCAGCTCCTGGTCATGTCAAGATGTTTCTTTTTCTATCAGTATCAACCTTACCGCTAGCACACTGCTTCCTACACTTTATCATTGTTAAGATAAAATACAAAACCACACAAACTAACTGCTTTTAGTCCTATGACTGCATTTTTTTATGACTTGAGTTTCATAGAAGAAAAATATTTTTTTAGTCTGTTTATTTTTAAAATAAAATTTTTTTAAACTATAGTTGACATACACTATTACCTTCACTCAGATATACAACCCAGTGATTAGACATTTACATAACTTATGAAGTGATTACCCTGACTAATCTAGTACCCATCTGACACCATGCATAGTCAATCTTAATTATTGACTATATTCTCTATGCTGTACTTTACATCCCCATGACTATTCTGTAACTACCAAATGTACCTCTTAATCCATTCGACTCTTCACCCATTCCCCGGTACGCCTCCCATCTGGCAACCGTTAAAATGTTCTCTGTATCTATGAGTCCATTTCTGTTCTGCTCATTCATTTATTTATTTTTTATTTTTTTAGATTCCACAAAGCCTATGACTGTATTTTTAGTTCCCTATCACAATCCCATTTAAATCAATAGTAATCTGAGTAATGAATTTCATGTTCCTAATTAATCCACTGTGTCACAGCCAGTCTATTATATAAAACTTCCAGTTTAGAAAAAAATGCTTATATTTACAAATTTAATATCTAGTTTCTTTTTTCTTACCTCAATTAAAATATAAATTAACATACTTCATTCTTTCAAAGAAGTCTAGTCCCATCTTGCTCACAATTCCAACATCAGAAACAGTACAATTATTTTTTAATAACCTATATTTAAACTTATATACCACAACTTTAATAAAATCAACTCAGTGGCATTTAGATTAAAACAGTATCTTTCTTTTAAAGTCTTTTTTTTTCAAGCAACATTAATGAAGATGTTGGGGAAATTAGTTCAGTACTGCTAATTTACATTCTCTGTCCTTTGGGGACTCACTAATAAGCTAAGATTTTTCTTTTCAGTTTCACTAGGGATGAAGCGTGATTTCACTTTTTAGTATAAAATACAGTGGATTAAATAAAGGATAAAGAATAGCAAAAGGTCATAAAAAATCTTCACAATTCATGTTCCTCAGTAACACTAAGCAACTGTAGATGACTAAAGTGTGTGACATATTTGCTAAGAGTCCACTTTAAACTTAGAAATGTAAAAACTAATTTCCATTCATTTTCAAGGTCATTATTAAAAGATAATAAATAACACAGAATAGGGAAAATTACTTTTAAAAGTTAGAGTTAGATAAAAAAGGAAGGGAAAGGAGAGACAATTAACATTTTTGGGGCCCTTCCCATGTTCCAGTGACTGTGACAGGTGCTTTGCATATCTCTCATAATTTAATTCTCACAACAATCCTAGGAAGAAAGTATTATTCCCATTTTACAGATAAGGAAGATGAATCTCAAAGATTAAATAATGTGTATAACACTACACAGCTGAGAACTAGTGGAAATGGACACAAATCCTAGTATGTTTGATTCTAAGAACCATGATTTCTTCCATATACAGAGGTGAGCAAAAGTAGGTTTACAGTTGTTTGTATGGGAAAATACAAATAAAAAATATAATAATTAGTAAGTATGAATTATTTGCATGCTCACAACTATAAACCTACTTTTGTCCACTCCTGTATATTGGGCTCTCAAATAACCTTGCTCCACTGCAATAAAGTCTCAAAAACTAAAGAGTCACATACCTTTTGTGTTTCATCCTTCTTCTCTTGTTTGAGAATGTCAGTTAGGTTGATGAGCTTTTCCATAGCCTCAACTTGCCTATTCAGGTGCTTCAAATACATCCCACATGCACGACAATAGGATTCCAATAGTAGGCCAAACCTCTGACTAACTGTTTTATTGTGCATCTCAGATCTAGAAGAACAGTGCAAGATTTTTTTTTTAGAAAAAGGACTCTGTGTGTGTGGGGGGGGGGCGGGGGCGGGTCGTAAAGGAGTATACATACCTTTCTTAAGAAAGTAAAATAACTCATTTTCTAAATCCAATAAATGTTATAATCATACTAACAATAAAATGATTCAAAACCTATCATTTATAAGCAAAACAATCAAGGGTTTCAGGTAGTTCCTGCAAATGTTAATTGAATGAACTAATTTTTAGATTTATTTCAACTACTTTTTATTAACTAATCTCAGTAGAAGATATAAAAATATAAAAAAAAGAAAGTGGGTACAAAAATAATAAAATATAAAATGAGTAGGGAAAGAGTTAAGAACTCAGTGAATCCCATTTGATTTTGCTGGCATACATGTTCATTTTCTATACTGTCTCCGAATTTAAGTTATTTTAAATCCAGCTTCGAGGTTTCACTTTTAATTTATTTCAACATTTAAAAACTCAAGTTAATTACAAGTCTGTTTCTAAATTTAGAAAAAAGTGTGTAGTTCATGACCCCTAACTCTGAGTATTAGGTACATCTTTTTCTATAAAACATTTTCTTTTTTCTTTTTTTAAATCTTTTTTTTTTATTCTCACTGAAGGACATGCTTCTTGATTCGAGAGAGGGGAAGGGAAGGAGAGAGAGAGAGAGGGAGAGAAACATTGATGTAAAAAACATCGATCAGTTACCTCCTGTATGCACCCCAGCTGGAACCTAACTGCAACCCAGGCATGTGCCCTGACTGGGAATTGAACCCACTACCTTTCTGCTTATGGGACGATGCTCCATCTAACTGAGCCACACTGGCCAGGGCATTAAAATTCTTAATTAGTTCATTTCCTAGTGAGAAACTTGAGATTTTTTGTCATTAGTCTTCTGAATTCCAAGGTAAGATTTTTTTCCTTTATTTTGGGGTATTTTAAACCACACATTACAGTGAAATCAAATATACCATTAATTAACATTAATCCAGCAAATTTAACTTTGCTTAAAGTAGAATAGAATCTTTAAACTACTTTTGCTCTCATTTTTGTAGAAAATTCAATTTTGAATTTACCATGTATTTAATGTTAACAGAAAAGGTTGAGTGGAAACTCACCATTGGTACAATAAACTTTCGGTATTGAAAACTCTTCCAGACAAACAAAATCTATAGTATATAAGTATACATATTTATACATATATTAAGAAAGTAATATGTATCTAAACAACTTAATGGGAAAATAATTTGACTTACTTTAAATGCCAAAAGAAAAAGTGCCCAATCCTTTGATTAGTCAACGCTTTTTTGAGTAAAAATCTCACAAGCAGGTTATCCAAATACTGTTCATATTTTAGGACCTATGTGTTCAAAAGCAAACAAACATAAACACAACTTTACATAAATCAGGGTCAGTTTTTGCGTGGTTGAATTTAAAAACAATCTGTTCAGAAAGAAAGTAGATACTACTGCTAACAAAACTGATTTTTAAAATTGAACTAACAAGCAAAATGAAGAGACTCATAAATAGCAGGCTGACAGCTCTGGGGTGGGGGCTTGGGGTTGGGAAGACTGAGGGAAAAAGAAAAACAAGAGAAGGAACTCATGGACGGGGACAACAGGGCGGTGACTGCAGGGGTTCGGGGTGGCGGGGGCAGGTGAGTGGGGGTGGCAGAGAGTATAGGGGAGATAAACGGTAATGGAAAAAATATACAGTAAAAATTATAAACTTTTTTTAAAAAAGCATAAAAGCAATTAACAGTAGGTTTTGGAAGTGACATGACTTTAGAATAACACATTATTTTTCTATTTTATGTTATTGTACCTGTACTAGCTGAATTAGGTACTGAGAAAGTTTGTCATCTGTTAAATATTTTTCTAGGCATCGAACAGCAAAACCTCGAACCATAGGATCTGGGTAGTTGCAGTCCAAAAGCTCCATAGCCTGTTCGGGTTTGATTGGAGGCCAATCTTTCACCAAGCAGTACATCTGTGTATAAAGCAAAGATAGTTGTGAACGAACCCTCTAAGACATTGTCTTAATTTCTTATTTTAAAATTAGCTTAGATAAAGGCCTCCCTGCCTTATGAATTCAGTGCTTAAAATGTTCAGTTCTAATTAATTGTTTTAGCGGAAGTAGTGTAAATGGTATTTTTCTCTACTGTATTACCATTATTCATTAATTTAATACAGCCTATTTCATCTCTTACTTACGCAGACTTTCTGAGAAAAGAATTTCATCTCTTACGTATGCAGAGTTTCTGAGAAAAGAATTTGAGCAACATACCTATTCAGTGCAATAGTTATCCAGTAATCTCAAACACATATTTACCTGGGCTACTTCATCTCTAGAATTCCATTTAACAGACAGAAGTAATTTGGGTAGAATTTCAGGGATAGTTACACAATAGTGTCTGTGTGGAAAAGAAAACAAAACAAAAAACATTCTCACATGTTAATCAAAAGGCCTAGATGTTTAAATTCTCACTATGCAATCTTTAATAAGTTCCAAACACTTTTAAAAGCTTTTTACCATTACTAGCTTTCCTTAAAATCAAGAGAAATCAGTGTTTACCATTTTCCTGCACACATATGTACATATATACTTAGATATGGTTATAATGGCAAAAGAAAAATCCAAATGGAAGACAGGTACCTAGGAAAAATTTTATATTTATTTTATAACACTGTTTATATAACTTCTTTTATTCACCCACTTAAGCAACTTGAACCACAAGAAGAGCCACTACTTCTACTGTGCTCACTGGAATTTATGTTTTAATGAACTTTCTGTAGAAATGCACTACAATTGCTTTATTTAAATAAAACTTACCGGGTAGTTGGATAATCTCTTCATAAATAAAAATAAGGCATTACACTATTACTTTGAGGAGATGAACGAGAAAAAGGAAAATGGAGAGAACTCCTAAAAAATGAAATACTTAGACAAACTAAACTGATCTAAAACTACAGGCTGTTTTTTTGGATCCTAAATTTTATTAGAAAACAAAAATGAAAACCAAATCCTAAAAAAAGTCTTATCAACTTAGAATTTAACAAAAAGCCTTCAATGTACAAAGTTAGTACCAATGCAGCATGACTTTCTAGGAATATTAATCTCTATCTCTAGCTTTAAAAAGGATATCGTTTATAATAAAAAGTAATGTAAATTATGCTTTATTTACTTTAATAGGTATGGTAGAAAAATGGCAAGATCCGCCAAAGTCAATTCTTTCTTTTCTTCTGTAACGTAAGAAAGAAACAGACTCTTCATCTTAGCACTTACCTGTGGCTCCACAGAAAATCTTTCTCTTGCTCAGTGATTTCAGATAGAGGATCTCGGGTACAAATTGCTCGGAGCTGTTCTTTATCATTTTCCCTTAATTCATTGTCTCTGGCTAGTCTGTTACTCTGTAAAATAAAGTAATATTTTATATGATTTTCTTTGCTATATTTTTTCACCCAGGATTCATGAGTGATCTACACACAAAAAAAGGAATTGTCAATAAACTTTACATTGCTTATTAACTGTTGTGAAACAGTTTACTACTCCCATTTCAAGACTTTATTTTAGGGATAGAGAAGAAACAACTTAAGACAGTATTTGTGGAACAAATCCCATAACTTATTTGGTTAACATTACCACCAACCACAGAACAGTAACTGCCAAAGTAAGTCAGGGCTACGATGATTGGAATACTAGGGGTAGTAGTGAATGATTTACTTCTTTTGCTGATGAGGACCTTTCTTAGTATTCTAACTAACCAGCTAATGTATCTGGAATGAGAAAATATAAAATAGGAATATAAAGTTCAAATGTAAATTCTTTCATAATCTTTGCCTGAGTACATCCTTATAATCAGTCTAAGGTTTTCAAATTTAAATAAAGTAAAAATAAATAAGAGAAAAAAGGAGAAGAAATGCCTCCATTAAAACTATGTACATTGCATGTTTGGAAACTAAAAAGAAAAGATCATAACTTTTGGTATAATTCCAAGATTCCAAGTAATACCTTTATTTCCTTTACATACAGCTACATTAACTACATGATGAATAATTATGAATTCATATTAATGTATTATAAAAAAACAATTATACATACATCCCTTAAAAGGGATTACACATATTCCTAATGGCTAAAAATGAAAGCAAACATTCATGCTTCTAGGTTTTTATACATTTAACCTTTGTTAATTTATCTAATAGCATCAAGAAATATTACTGGCACATATTTATTAAAACACTTACTGTGAGCTTTGTCTTGTTCTTACTGTTGGGAGCCATAAAATTGTAAAAGAACCTGCACTAACCAGGCCTCCATTAGAGTGGAAAATTTAATAAACATTAGAAAAATGATGGAGAATTGACTTCAATACCATGGGTGATCTAACAGAGAATGACTGAATGACTAAACTGGGTGTTCAGAAATGGCCTCTGAGAAAGTAGTATTTGATTTGTGATCCAAATGACAAGGAAGAACTATCTACACAAAGATCTGGAAAAGCTGCAGCACATGGAGGGAACCATGCAAGCGCCGTAAGGGGAGGATGAGCTTGCGGGAAGGCCGGTGAGCTCGAAGCCCAGGAGATGACGGGGAGAAGTGACAGGGCCTCTGCTCAAAGCATGTAAAAGCTGTAGGCCAGGGAAAAAGGTTTGGGTTTTATTTTTAGTGAAAGTTATTTAAACAGTGAGTCATTATTTGATTTATATTCAATAAGTATTATGCTGGGTGCTCTGTAGAAGGAGGGAGACCAGTTAGAAGGCTACTGAAATAGTTCAGGTGAGAGAGAATAAATGTTTAACCCTCAATTCCCCAGGGAAAGTAGTCATTACCATTTACCATGGTAATCTGGGTCCATGGACTCTTAATTTTTTTGTAGCATTTAGTTATTTTTGTTTGTTTACATTTTTAATATAGAATAACTTAGAGAATAATAAAGTGATAATTAAAAACAATTATATGACATCTTGGTAAGAGTTTAAACACAGTAAAACCAAGCTTACGATCCAAAATAAGCAACATCCTTTGAATGCAACTAACTGCTTGCTCATCAACTCATATAAGTCTGGAACGTATCTATCGTGTAAATACGGAGTCCAGATTTTAAATACATATCTAATAAATTCTAGACTATCATTACTACTGGTTTTTCCTGTACCTCTAAGTCAAAATGCAGTATATTTGAAAACTTTGATGCCTCACAGTTTTGTTAGAATGGCCATCTTCTTTGCTTCGTATTTGTAAAACATTTCTATTATTATACATACAGATACCAATGAGAATAATGAAGCCAGGGAATTTTTAAATTTCTACATCACCTCTTTCCTTCCAGTTACAGGTATAACTAGTTGGACAGGAGTATGTCATGGGAATGCTTATCAGTATTTCAACCCCAATTTAAAAATTAAAGAATTCCTGTTAAACTATAACAGAATTATTAAAAGAAAGATGCTCAATATTTATTAAACAGTTACATTAGGTAGGTTATTTAGATTCCTAAGTCTGTCTCCTTACTAGTGAAATAAGGATTATAATAGTACCTACCTTCATAAAGATGGCTTTTAAAATTAAATAATATGTGAAACGTGATTGGTATGGCATTTGCTACACAGTAAGCATTTGATAGATGTTAGCAATTATCATCAAGAATCTCTTAATATCAAAAAAGTTAACTGCACCTTTAGTATCTGACAAAACTCAGTAATTTTACATTTATTTGCACTTAAAATACCTTTTATATATCTTTGAAAGTGCAGAAAGGGTAAAGGTTATTATTATTATTATTCAGTTTACAAAAGGGGTTGGTAAACCCTCACTGAAAGTTCCTAAGTGCTGGATTGCCAGCTGCCCTGGATGCTGTCATTGTACCCAGGAATATATAAGACATGGCAGGCATATTTCAGTATCTCTTGGCCCCATATTCATTGGTTGGTCTACCTATCATCTCCAACCAGACCAAAGAAAAAGCAATAAATTTGAAAATTAGAAAAACAGATAACAAAAAACAAAAATATCTCCTCCTTGTAGCACCAACACCTTTGCCCTTGAGAAGTAAGTGAAAGTTAATGGTCCTTAAACCTAGTTATACTATGCCCTGGCTGGTGTGGCTCAGTGGATTGAGTGCCAGCCTGCAAACCAAAGGGTCGCCAGTGTGAGTCCTAGTCAGGGCACATGCCTGGGTTGCAGGCCAGGTCCCCTCTGCGGGACGCTCAAGAGGCAACCACACATTGATGTTTCTTTCCTTCTTTCTCTCTCCCTTCCCCTCTCTAAAAATAAATAAATTAAATCTTTAAAAAAACAGTTATACTATGGTTCAAAATTTATGGCCAAGATCAGACAAGTAGATCAATATTTAAATTCTATTTTATATACACTCTTTTCTAGGGGATCTGGGCTATGATGGTGAGGCAATTTCCTTTGCTTCCAAGCTTACCTAACAATATATTCATACGTTGGTCCAACTTCAAGTTTGCTATTCTGAGAAGTCTTTTCTGAACCCAATATTAGCCTTTCTCTTCCATTCCTTGGTCATTCTTAGCTAGCATACTATTGTTTTTTTTTCCTCTGTGGCATTTACCATGATCTATAATCTCATATTTTTGCTTTTACCTGTTTAATGTCTATTTTCACCATTAGACTGCATACTCAGTGGAGGTCTCTTTAGGTCACAACTTTATTACCTGGTACGTATCATACAAGAAATATATACATAGAGTTGGCATTCAATAAATATTTGTTAAATGAAGGCAGGTTAGAGCTATGAATAAACTAAGAAGAGGCAGACCTGCAGTAGAAATGCTAGCATATAGAGAATTTTATTATATTACATTACTCCTAGAGCCTATACTAGCTATGCCAGTGTAACTAAAACACATGAAGCACTTTCTGTACAAAGAGTACATAAAGAGTATATACCCAAATCCACTGATTATAATTGATACTTTAAAATACTCAAGTGATTTGCCTTACCAGTCCTGCATGGGTATAACTAAATCCTGCTTCTCGGGACACAGACCAATTGGCATGCTCTTCAATCACTGACATATCTGGAAACTTTACCACACTGCTGAACCAGTCAAACTCCAACTCTAAGCATGGAGTTTCCTAAGAGATGGAGTAGAAGTTATTACATATATTGTGTTTGTCATAAAAAAGGAAAAAATTCTAATTTATAATAATAAAAAGCTTACTTTATTTGGATTTGATCCAGTAACACCAATAGGATTCAGCAAATCTTCTAATCCATGAGGTACTGGCCAAAGATTCAAAGCCATTTTTCCAGATACTAGAGTATCTGTGTAATCAAACAAGTTTATATTTCCCCATGCCAATGGACAGTGTTCCTTAAAACAAACAAACAAACAAACAATATTCACTACTCTGGATTTATTAGACATGTTTCAAAATGCTTTTCTTCCCCAGGAAGCAGAATTCAACAACTAGCTACATAATAATGTCTATAATAAGCCATATTAATTTTTTCAAAGTATAAGTTGCTTTCCTTTTTCCCCATTTGAAATTACATGTCTTTTCTCTAATTATTATTAGGAAATATGAGCCAAAGCAAGCAAGATAGATACATGCATATAGTCACTTAACAGGTGTTTATTTGTGTGTAGTCATTTTGCATGTTCAAAAATTGTATCAATCTGACCTCAGGACATACTCATCAAAAATAAATTCTGGAAGCTTTCCCAAGGTATTCTTCTATGATACATTTATTTATTTAAAACATTTAAATATTTTATTTATTTATGATAAAAATAATACCCATTTTCTGATAAAAATTCAACAAGCAATATAATCTGAAGTTTCTAAAGGTGAATATAATTGTTTCTGGTAAAATACTTTACCTCTTTAGCACCCTTTCGACCTTTAACAGAACAAATGGAAAGGCAAAGTCGAGCAGCACGAGGAAGATCAGGAATGTATATATCATAATTCAGCCATTCATTCCACCTACGTAAAATTGAAAAAGAAATTTACCAAAACAGGGTTTATCCAGAGTATATAAATGACTACTACAAACCATAGAAAAGTACATAAATAAAACAAACAGGACCGTGATTGAATGGAAGACATTTTACAAGATCATATCCAAAAGGCCAATGAACATGGAAAAGTAATCAATACCATTGTCATCCACAAAATGCAAAATAAAATGTCATGGAGCTATCACTATACAAGAGATTGGCTAAAACTTTAAAGACTGATGATACCAAGGGGTGGTCAGAATGTGTAGTTACAGGAAATCTCTTATACTGCTAGCAGAGTTGTTATTTATATAGCCAAAGTGGAAAGCATAACCTACTACATGTGATCTATGACTCAGCTCCACCTCTTGGTATAAAATCGAAGAAATGCGTGCATTTGTGCATAGAATGTTAATAGATTATTTACAATGTCCCAAAACTACAATCTTAATGTCTAATAGCAAAAATAGGTAAATTGCGGTATATTCATGTACATATTCATGTCATGCGGAATACATAGTAAATGTATCTATAAAGAGCCAAGTAAAATATTTAATTGTTATTGTTTTAAAAAGATTATATCAATGGTTAAGAGTATGAACTTGGAAATCACATCACCTAGAGCAGAATCTTGCTTTTACTATTTTATTACATGTGCGACCCTTTATTTCTCATCTTGGAAATGTGATAAATAGTACCTACTCTCATCAAGTTTTTGTGAAGAGTAAATGAGATAACAGAAGTAAATCAATTGGAAGACTAAATCAGTGCATGGCAAAAGCTCAAGTGCTAGATATTGATTTTGAAAACTTTTCAAATGGCTTCTTCAAAATTCTATTCTATTTTTGATTATAAATAAAACAAGACTTAATAAGATATTATAAAAATTCTATTTTTAATTAGCCAAACTAAGGTATAAAGCTTTATCAGTAAAATAAGTTCTATTTATTCTAGTCTCTCTGCTCAATTATGAATGAAGTTAAATATATATATGGTCCACATGAAAATGAGAAGATGTTGAAAATGGGGGAACGTGGCAACATGCAGGGAGAAGAAAAACTGTGGGCTTTGATTAAGTCCACAGTAACTGTACCTAGGATTTTTTTCTTTTTACTTCTAAATCTTTAGACTTCCTCAGATCTAATGGGAAATATTCTACATATGTTCTAAGAGAGCTATATCCTGTGAACATAGTTGTTTATAGTACTATGTGACTAAAGCATGCTGCTTCTTCTCAAGTCCACATACACGCATCAATTAAATTCTTTATTATTAGGCAATGGTTTTATATATAATCTAAATTGATTCTGAGTTTGGGAGACAACTAGTAACATTTATGAAGAAATCATAAAGTAATTTAGCATATGGGAAGTATAGATTTGGAACAATGAATCTCAGTATGACTCTTCTTTCTAATAACTTCATTTCTAAATGAAGTTATTAATTAGAAGTTTTAAATCTAATTTCTTTTGGTAAATACAGAAAAGTTTAAAAATTTACTTAAATATTCATACTAGTACCATAGGGATTTTGCCCTTTAGACTTGAGAATTCTTCAAGAAAAAATAACCAAATAAAAGTCCTTTTTAAATAGTTTCTTTAATAAAATTTTGACATTTTAATCTTATATCCTTAAATAAATTTATCTTTTACTTTTATAATACTAGTTTATTTTTTGGTTTTGAAACAACTAGAATAAATCTACCCAATATTATTTTGGGTTTTTTGCTTGGGGCTTGTTGAACTCTTTCGATTGTTGGTTTTATAGTTTTCATCAAATTTGGAACATTTTTGGCTATTCTTTACTCAAATATTGTTTTGCTGTTCCTTGCACAACCACACCCTCAAGCTGTGACAGTCATGCGGCATGAGTGGAAAATAAAATTTTGTTGTTCTAACAAAAATTTTAAAAGATCTTGGGGTTGTTGTTGCCACAGCATAAATTCCAACTTGAATGGCATACTTTCTGACCTAATGGTTCAGGTAGGGGGAGGAGCTATTTCCCTTCCTCCAGGTAGAGAAGGTTACCATCTCTTTGAACTTTACCTAAACTCTAGAATGGTGGCCATCTCTAGGAACTTAATTACAAGATCAAAACATTTTTTGACTCTCTTAGAATTCAATCTAAATTCATTATAAAGTTTACTTCTGGATGATTCACTAGTTAGCCTGATTGCTACCCTACAAAATCCATCTTTGATCTTTAATATCAATTTGAGTTCAACTTAAAATATTACTATTATATTCAGGAGTACACTCTTATCCCAAATGATTCTACACAGAGAGGCAAAGAAATGGAGGATGGCAAGTTGTTGGATTATACTTCCTTTTCTTTCGTCATTATATCTAGGCAGCAAAAATTTAAAATGTTCCCAAGAACTCTCCCTCCTCCTAAGAAATTGATTTATCTGAATGTCATATTTAACTATTCTTGGGAGTAATGTGTAGAAAACGCCCATAGAGTAGCCTCGCTCTGGAGTTGTTTGCCAACCCTCCGTTCTTCTTTGTGTAAATGATAATGGAGATAAGAAAAGAATAAAATGCTAGGCTTATGAATCAACTGTGGAGCAATCATCAGTACAAAACTGTAACCACAGTTTGTTCTCTCCTCGATACAATGGGAAGAGAGAATCAGAAAAACCCTACAGATAAAATTTCACACAGAATCAATGAAGTGATTTCTGTGATTTGACAGAAAGTCCTTATGTTCTACATGTAAATGTCTGGGAATTTATATGACTTGTATAAAACTAATGATGTTAGTTATTTTGCTTTTACTAATTATATTGCTAAATACTAATATGACTTTTGAAGATAGACATCCATATACTTCCTTACCTGGGATTGGAACAAGGTACTCTTTGAGTGTTCACATTATCACACAAGGGTTCTCCTCCATGGTAGATACCTGTTCGAACATAGATCTAAAACAAATAGAAATAAAATAATAAAAAAGAAAGAAAAAAGTATGTGTACATAAATATATACAAACATATATATATATATAAATACGTACACATATGCACACATACAGTGTGGGAAAAATTAGTTTTATAGTTGTATGGAAAAAATACAGTAATTGATAAATAATAATTCAAGAAAACTGTTTCACATACAACTGTAAACCTACTTTTGCCCTATAATGTACCTACTAGATAGAACCAATGTTAAACAATAACAGGATAGTATAATTGAAATGAATAAGAGAATCCATGAGAAGTTTCTGTTCAGATGCAGCTCTTCAGTTCTCCTTTTCTTCACGTATATAGTAAGTTAATACTGATGCAGACTCTCCACCAAAATTTGTTGATATTTTCAGGGGAACATCAGACTAATAAATATCAATATAGGCCCATCTTTAGGACAAGTATGGGATTCAAAGTTTTTCATGTTTTAGAAAATTGGTACATATACTAAACATTACTTAATACTATTAGAAGTTAGAACACCATAATATGTTAATATTTCTGCAACAAAACACAAGAATATTTATAGTAATGGGATGAAGATATTAAAAAAACATTTCTTCAGTTCGGGTCAGGTTTGCTACAAATTAAATTCTGTAAATCTCTTGGTTTTAAGAGTTTAGGATTATGAACATTTAGAACTGTTAGAATATTAGAATTAGGAATATTAGAATTACAGAAGGACAATAAATTGAGTAATAGCTGAGGTAGATGGGTGGTTTTCTAGCCATCTGAAAACATACTGCAGGTCAACAGTTAATTATTTAGTTCAATAAAAAAGTCTAAATAATGTAATTTATATGAAATAATAAGCATCAAATGGCTTTACCTTGTCAATGTCTCGAATATTTACATTTACATAGGTTGCACAAAGAATTTTTATTCTGAGTGCACTATTTATAACCCAAAGGGATTTTGTAGAAGTTTCTCCATTCATATATGGTGTGGCGGTAGAGATGCGTCTGGAATAAGACGGCATTGTAAAAGAGTCCATTGGCAGTTGTGAGTAAAGGCTTTCCTTAGCCATCAGCATCAAATTGGGCATCCTCCCAAGCATTATACAGCTTCTTATATACTGTAAAAGATTAAGGGAGAAGCCATTTTTTAATAAGGTTTTTTATTTTAGAAGCAACATGTAAGAGTATTATGAGAGAATTTATACACTAATATGCAAAGGTGATAAAAAGTAAAAAATTATAGGCTACATTTCTTAGCAGTTGTTGTGTTTAACATTTAAAACACTAACATTTGGGAGTTAGGTTATTGCGCAGGATCAAATAGGTCCCTGTTAAAATATAAATTGTATGAAAGAAAAAAAAGTCAGCTTTCGACACTATAATTCTACCCTTAACTGTAAAGAAAAAATAGTAATAAAAACAAGAATCATAGAATACTCATTATGAAAATCCTGCACTTGTTAAAGGAAAAGCAACATCAGTGAGCGAGCCTCTATCATTCTATCAAGCCATCCAGTGTCCAAAGGAAGGGTCGCTGCCCTCTTGCTCTTCTGTCACAACAGTTCTTGAGAAACATTTGTTTTGTTAAAAATTAAAACAAAAATACCGCAAAGAGAGGAGACTGATAAAAATATAGAACATATTTTTAAAATATATTAAAACACATTGTTTTGAACTGTGAAATGGTAGTTAGGATAGAAATTTCTAATATAAATGCTACTGTGTACATATTATAATAGCCTATTTTCTTACCCATATTCTACTAGGTTGTAAAGCAACCTGAAGGCCAGAACCACGTCTTGCTTAATATTGTAAATTAGTACTTGGCATATGCTTGGTACAAGTATGGTTGCTTCTTTTAGGTATTTAATGAACAGAAATAGTATAGTAATAGTAATAGTATATCTTATTTAACAGTAAATCATTAATTTTTAAAAATTATTTAATTACCACTAGTGTCATTGCCTGGAAGGAGATAAAAATTATGAAATACCCTGTATTTCAGTGTTAGTATAACTGCCACATGTTTTTGTGTTTGCTTGTCTTTTTTGTCATAAGGGACACATACATGTTATTAGCTTACACTACATATTCAAAGGAATACAATAAACCCCTTTAAAAAAAGGCACATGAAAAGCCTTCTGTGCAAATTTCATAGTATTAAAAATTCCTATTGGCTAATAAAAGTATTTCCACTATAAAACTGGAGCTACCTAGAAACACACATGATGCATTTTTTTGTACGCAGAATACCTGAAACATTGTATGTTACCTCATAGCACCATTTAACAGTAACCAAATCAAATGTTTGTATCTGAATAAAGATAAATGCGAAAACACTAATCAGCTTATCCACACATATACTGTCAAATCCACAAACATTAATTACATAAAACTGAAAGGAAGAATAGCATCTGTTCTTTCAAATTAAATTTGTCGTCCATTTCTCAAATTAAATAATTATTGTATAAAAATATAAACTTATGGCCCTGGCTGGTGGGGCTCAGTGGATTGAGTGCCGGCCTGTGAGCTGAAAGATCTTTGGTTTGATGCCCAGTCAGGGCACGTGCCTGGACTGTGGGTCAGGGCCCCAGGTCGGGGTGTGCAAGAGGCAACCGATCTATGTTTCTCTACCTCTGTCTCCCTCTCTTCCCCTCTTCGAAAAGTAAATAAATAAAACCTTTAAAAATATATAAACTTATGAATGCTATTTATTATTATTTATTTTTTAAAAGTATGTTCTAAAAATGTGATTATTCTTTAAATTTAAGATGAATGTTTCAAAACTTGTTACTTACCTTATATTGACTCAGAGGATATTTTTCTAGGAAGTATTCATCACATCCACACACTTTTAAAATGTATTTGCCCTGATATTCTAAAACACAAAGTTTTAGTTGTTCAGATGATAGCAACATACTTCGAGTTTTTTTCCTGATTGCTTCAGCAATTACTTGTTCTGGCACACAGTCATGGTTGATTTTCAGAGTATACTTCTGCTTGTCATTATTTGGAGAAACTATTACCCAAATCACCACAATTATTTGTCCTATAACAAGAAAACATTATTAGATGCAATGACCACATATACTTCATTTTTCAAGAGACAAATTTTTAAAAGTATGAACTACCATTACTTTAACCATAACCATAAATGACTTGTAATCAAACTAATTAAATACAGATAAATCTTCAAATCTAATAGGGCTGCCTGACCATGCCCAAATCTCATGTTTTATGGAAAGCGTGCAAAGCTGTGACTACTGGGTCACAAGTACCTGATACCAAGATAATTCCATTCTAAATTGCATTCATGGATACAGCCTCTGTGAAGAGTATCTTATGATGGTATACCACAGGTTCAAAAGTGGTTGGAAGAGTTTTTGGTAACTATGGCAAAGAATCATGGAGACTTAAAGAAATATGCTCAACTGGATGAGAAAAAAAGGTGGGAGAAGAGGGAAAATAAGATGGATTTTCTTATTTTTTTTCCTTTTAAGTTCAATTAAGCCAGGGGACAAAAAAAATGATAAAATGGAAAGATCAAAATCTTAAAAATGGTCCGAGTGTTCACAGTGTAATTCTTCTAACCACCTAGTATATTAGAAATTTTTCATAAAGAATGTTGGGGAAAAATGAAAGGAGCATTCCATTTTTAAAAGTATGCTAGAGTAGAAAAGAATTTCAAGTAAAGATGTTATGTTATATTGCATTAAACTACTTTGAATAATATGGGTGAAATAGTAAGATATGAAATTATTCTAACAGAACTTTATATTTATTATAATGTGAATTAACCTATTCTGTAACTTCAAATTAAAATCTCCACTTTGTTATCTTGAAAAATACAGATATTTATCTGATAGATTTTCATTTCAAAAACATTATAGTTTATATACTTTCATGTTCACTTAATTCTAGAAACTGATACAGTAAAGTATCAAAAGTCAACCTTATTATGATCAGATTTAATTGCTGCATTTAATATTAAATTATTTTTCTTTGAATATATGATATATAACAAGTTTTTCTAAAATTTCATAAAATGTCCCTATTTACACTTATTTTTACTTGTTAGAAGATAATCAGCTGTAATTCTATAGAAGTGAATTTCAAACTCAAAGTTCTTTAGTTTTATTCTGAGGTAAACAATTCACCAAGGGATCAGCACCATATACACACAATTCATTCAATAAATACTTCACGCTCAACTATAACTTGTGAGTATAAGCAGTATCTGACTTCAAGGAGCTTATCATCTAACTGGGATAAAAAAGACTTTAAAAATATAGGCACAGATAGAAGTCTTCACTACAGTACCCAACTACGGTAGACTGCAGATTTTCTTACCTTTATCTAATTTATTGTATATGTGCTTTGGCAGTTCTGGTGAAGATTCTACGTTTGGAGGATAGACATACATTGCTCTACTATGAGGTGAATTAAGATCCCTAAGGTCCACAGCTTCTTTACAGACATTCAGAATATTTCTTCGGAAGTCCTGTACTTCTGGATCTTTAACCATATCAAATTCACACACTGGCATGCCGATAGCAAAGCCTTAAAAATTATATAAAGAATATAATATTCTATTAAATACACAGTATATAGAGTTTCTTATAAATAAAAAACTTGGTAGATTTGAAAGATCACAGTAGGGTAAAGAAATTTCCCTGGGCTTAAAAATTTTTTTATGAGTACATACAGTAAGAGTTTACAAGGACTCAAATGCTTTTAATAAAACACATTATACTTAGCAATTTGGAGCATAGGCAGCAAACATCCATATCAGGTGGCAAACAACCACATCAATTGTTTTTTAAAGAATAATAAAACAAAATTGGGATATAACAAAAATAAGTCAACCACACAAATGATACTTCTTAAAGAAAACCTTACAGAAAAACACCAAGGTGTTAAAAAATAGTTCCTTAGCCCAACAGTCAAAAAATACTTTAAACTTGTAATAATTTTTTGTTTCATAATCTATTTATTTACGAGTACCAAGGTAATTAACTTGTTAAAACAGAAATATTTCAGTAATGAGAAAATACAGTTTCATAGTTATTTGTGTTTATTACGGCATGACAATGACATTTAGTTAAAAATTGTATCATACCAATTTCTCGATTGAGGATCTTTTCTTCACGGTTGCCTACTGGCTCAATTACTTTTAAAAAGGGTTGAAAGAGCCGAAGATCACAAAGTCGTCTTGTTTCGTCGAAAAATTCTTCCCTTTCTGCTTCCTGGGTGACACTTACGAAAATGTAAGAAGATTCATCTTGAAGAAGTTGATGGAGAGGGTACTTTCTTGCTTCTTTAAATAGTTCATGCTTTATAGTTATTAACGTAGCCTCACGGAGGCATTCTAAAGTCACTATCATTCCATTTGGTAGTAAACATTCTACTAGGATTCTTGGGGGCATCAAGTGGATGCCCCACAGTTCACCTGATGATGGTCTTGGAGGCATTGTTCTGATCCTTTACAAGTTTTACATATAAAACTACTTTAAGGAATTAGATGTGTTGCTGTCCCAAAGCAGAAATCTAAACCAAAGAAGGGAAAACATATGTTAAAAGAGAAACAACTACAGAATAACACATTTATGGCATTATTAAATGAGGTAAAAAACCCTCATTTTCCATAGTTTGAATTAGGATAAGTAATAATAATTCATCTAAAATATTTTGATGGAGTTGCTTGAAATTAGGCTGAAAGGACTGCAAAGCAGAAATTAGAAAAGTCACTTGTATTTAATTATATTTAATAAAAAATATTTTATTTGAATCAATTTTTAACCTATGGGTCTTATCAAGACAGAGTTGAGGCTATGGCAGGAATGAATTTTAAGTTGTAACTGAAACCAAAATTTCCATTGTCCATGACCTCTATCATTCTGTTCTATTTTACTGAGCAGCATCTGTGCTGGAAAGGATCTTTAAGCATGGGTCAACTGCTCTTGTTTTAAAGATGCGTAAAGTAAAGGCTAAAGATATCAAGTCTTTTCCTTTTCTTCTCCCCTCCCTTCACCCTGTGGTAATGAGAAACTACATGGCTTAGTCTTATTTTCTTTCTTAAATCCATCTTTGTAATTTCCTTTTGTGTACTGTTTATTATCTAAGTGATATCTTAGACCATACTACTTTTGAAGTATAAGTTAGATATATAGTTACATTAATATAAAGTTTCATCAATGCATTTCCCTTGAGATAAGATAAATTTTGATGATCTATTTTATCAAATAACGTAGTCCTAATATTTCTGATTGAAATGATCTGCATATAAAGGAAATCCATTGACTCTCTTTGTCAGTACAATGTTCCAAACAACTGTTAAGCACTTGTAATACTCTTTAGAAATCTTAATTATTATTATGATTTGAAGCCTTCATTTTCTAGATGTCAACAATCTTGGGAGTTCTTTTGGAAGATACTGTCAAAACCCACAAAGCACAAATTTATTTTTTGTTGTTTATATTTATTTTTTCTTTTATTCAGTAAGCTAAACTGTAAAGGTATAAAAAAGACAAAGTAAGAGACATTAAAAAAATAAAAAAGAAATAAAAATTAAGCTAGAGAAATGAACCAAAGCGTCCAGATAACTGTATTTGATCCTCTACCAGACACTGTGGACAATAGCTATAAATGACACATTGTTTATTCACTAAAAATGTATTGGTGCTGTCCCCAGAACCCTGCTAGGTGCTGGGAATACGATGATGAGTAAGATACACAGCCCTTGCACTCATGAGACAAAGTTAAGAGTAGGAAGATTATGTGTATATTGGGTGTGGGGTAATTAAACCGACAGGAACAAAACAGAAAATAATACTCTCATGGAGAAGTGCCAGATGCTATAAAAGCTCATAGTTGTTGCCCAGCTCAATGGAAGTTGGAGTGGGAAGGCTTCCACAGGAGGCACCATATAATCTGAATTTTTTAAGGACAAGTGGGAATTGAGCTAACACAGTAAGAGGTGATGAGTATGATGCATCTAATTAGAAATCTACTTTTGACTTCCCTGTGTCATACCCATCAACATCTGATCATCCACAAATTCCGTTAATTCTGTCTCCTGAATATGCCTACACTCCCTCACTCTCACTTTTAGTAGCTTGGGTCAGGCCACTACTGTTTCCTGTCTGGCACGGCAAAGGCTGAAATGGTCTCCCTGCAACTAGCTTTGCTCCCTACAATGCATCTGTCACCTTGCAGCCAGCGTGGCCTAGAGAGAGCAAAAGGGTCTACTCTGAGCAGCCATTTCTGCTCTACCCATTCTTAGTTGCAAACAAGTGTTATGGTGTGCTTCAGTTTTAATATATGAAAGAGGTGAGGAAGAGAAATAGTAGAAATTTCAAACCCTCACTGCCACCTCTGGAAATACAGAAATTGGAAGATAATTGAGAATATAAAATTATCATTATTACTATTATTTCTTCTTTTTTATTGGGGTGACACTAGTTAACAATATACATGTTTCAGGTACACAATCCTACAACACATCATCTGTACGCTGTATGTGTTTTTAATAGTTAATATTTTCTTCAAACTTTTAAGAGATCCACTAAAGTTATAATATTTAAAATACAGTTTTCCTGTTTCCTATATTTTTAAAAGAAAGTTCATTGACTAGGGGAAAAAACCCCAGATGGATCAATCTGTGGGTATAATTTTAGAAGTGACTTAGGCTAAGCTTTTTAAAACATACAAAAAATCTGAAGAATGCAAGAGAAAATGCCAAATGACTACTTTTAAATGATGATCTGCCTGCATAAAAAAAGTTCAAATAAAAACAAAACCAAACCACAAGCCACACCAAAACAGCAGCTGTGTTTATAGTTTTCTTTGTTGAATGGCGCTAAAAGGTCTATGTTACGGAATCATGGGAGCAATTATTTTAAAGAATAAGTTAACAACCCACAGAGTCTCATATGTTACCTAAAAATTAGCAAAACAGAAGTCTTGTACAGTAGACATAACACTGATTCCAGTAAGTACTACCATACAGAAGAGAGAAGATGCTTATTTGTCTCCTTTTACCAGGCCTTATTCTGTACAAACCATTACCTCAGAGCTCACGTGAAAAGAAGTATAGAAAAGGTGAATGGAGCTAACATTTACTATTTAGTATATATAGTGTATTTAGTAAGGCGATAAGCCTTTTAGGGCTGATATTGCCATTTTACATGTGAGGAAACTTAAGGTCAGAGAAACGAAGTTATGCACTACTAGATAACGGATTTTGAACTTACATTTAGGTGATTTCAAAGTATATGCTGTTATTTGGGCTTCAGTTATGGCCAGGTAACACTCACTGGTGGTGAATGAGACTTGAATGGGCTCTAAAGGTACACTGGATTCAATTTCTGGCTGCCTCAATTAGTAGTTGTGTGGCCTTGAGAAGCTTAATTCATCTCACTGAATCTCATACCCCCTGCCCCCCGTGCCATTTGTTAAGCTGGAATAATGGAATATATTTTGTCAGATTGTTGTATTAGACAAGGTGATATATGAAAAACATGTAAGCAAAAAGATTTTCCCAGTAAGCACCCAATAAATGTCAAATACTACTATTAATAAACCTGTAAAGTATACTTATAAATAAGAAGCTGCATAAAGTCGCACCAACTTCAAGGGCTGAAACTTGAAGGGAGCATTGGTAACTCAAGGCTCATTGACAAGGTTGGAACAGTAGTGAGTGGCTCTGTGCTCGTACCTTTACAGTTGCTTCTAGTTCCCCAGGCTCTTAATATTCTTATTTAAATTGTATAGCTATCTCTAGCTTAGGTGTGAGGAATCCCTTGCTGTATGTGCCCTACTCCCCAACCCCATGTTTTTGGAGAAATATATGCTTGTGTTAGGCTCTAGACTAAATATGCTATGTAAACAAATATAAATAAGATGTCTTCCCTTTGACTGTTAAGGACTCAGTTTATCCAGAAAAGACAAAACACAGGAACAACTTCAATAGTGGAAAGGTGATACAAGACAAAACATGAACTTTGAAGAAGTCACAAGAAATCTCCAACTGCCTAAGAAGGCTAGGGAAAGCATCAGAGAAGTAAAATTTAAGTAGAACATTGTAGATTAGTAGGGATTTTTCAGAGAAGGGGCAGCCTGAACATGAGAGAGCTAGATGAGGAGGACGTTTTAGAATGCAAGAAGTATGTGTGCAGAGTTACAGACCATGAAAGAACATAGCCTGTTACCAGTAACACAAGTTGTTTTTATTGCTGGAGTCTGAAGTGCACGGGAACAGGCAGGGTGTGTGACAAGGGAGGGGGGGTCAGAGGTAGGCAGGGGCCACAGGGTGGGCAGAGTCCACATTAAGAAGTTTGAATTTTACATAGTGCGCCCTAAGTAAAAGGGAGTCTCTAAAAACTATTTTGAGCAAAGAAATAGCATGAAACCTTTCAGTTCAGATTCCTTTAAAACTTTGCTTTTCACATATAGGATATAATCGAATAAACATTAAACCAAGGGGTAAAAATTTCATCTCAATTCCCTGAATTTGAGAAAAATCCCTAACGTTAGTAAGTCAGAGCATAGAACATTTAGAGAAAAAGGGCCTTTACACTATAGATAATTAAGTGTTAATAAAGAAGGCTGAATTATCCAAACTTAAGTGCATAATCTATTTACAAAGGAAAAGAAGTTATTTGAAAATAAAAAATCAATATAAAACATTTAAAATACAAATCTGAATTGGAGGTTTGAGGTCACAAAAACGTATCTGCTAAAAATAAAACATTTTAAGAGTCAAGAGCACTCTATTGAACTTTTGAGTTCAGAATGTCAGGACTAAATGTCCATTTGCTGGCAAATGACAACTATACAGCACTCTTAAGAAATATAGGTTATGTTTATCCTAAATTTTTATATATCTACTGATAAGTTATTTCAATGGGGCAACCCTGTTTTCTTAAAAGAGTATATATAATTCATAATCCACCCTTTTCTTGAGGAGTCCTCATTATAAAACTCATTATGGTGCTATACTAAAACACAATATAGTGACGCTCTTCACTATCATTGAAGAATCTGAGGATATTTTTGGCCCTAATACCAACAACTCCAGGCTGGAGATGGTGCTTTTTAAAAATGCTCCCATCCCTTTGTTTTCTAGCAGCCAATGGTGATGTTCAGTGGTGGCCAGCCTGACGGATGATAGTAGCCTCCTTTCTGTTATTCATTTCTATTTAGCAACAACACTTGCTACCATTTTGTAACAGTCTATAAACAAAAGGCCAACAGACTAAGTGATGGTATGAAAACCTCTCCTGTACGAGCTTAGGAGCACAAAATATGTAAAAGATACTTTGCTGATCAGAAGCGGTTGTTTTTTTTTCCTACTTCCTTGTTGTGATATTATAATTACTATTAAAAATTACTGTTTGGGGCCTGGCTGGTGTGGCTCAGTGGACTGAGTGCAGGCCTGCGAACCAAAGGGTTGCCAGTTCGACTCCCAGTCAGAGCACATGTCTTGGGTTGTGGGCCAGGTCCCCAGGAGGGAGGCACGCAAGAGGCAACCACACATTGGTGTTTCTCACCCTCTCTTTCTCCCTCCCTCTCCCTCTCTATAATATAAATAATTTTTTAAAAATTACTGTTTTGGCAGGAGTCAGTAAACCTCTTTAGTTCTTAGAGAGCCTGAACCTGCATTTCCTTCTTGGTAAGGGTTGGGTGTGCATTAGCAGTCCAAGTGGAGTAGATGGTTTTGCTCAGCAGGAGAAAAGATACCTTGAAGTACAAAATAAGAGCAAATATGAACAGCAGAAAATTGTCTCAGACTCTCTACTGTCATTTGACTTTTATAGTGGAAGGTTTCTTAATACATTGGGCAATTTAAATTTTGAACATTTGATGTGCACTCTTTTAGTCCAAGAAAACAAGGTCATTTTAACAATTTGTTTTTTAACTCCTAAATTGAAAGTCTTTCTTCACTTAGAAGGATATTTCCAGATTTCATCATTTAAGGTACAGTCTGTCAAACTATGGTCCACGGTGAAAATCCAGGTTACCACCTGCTTTTGAAAATAAAATTTAATTGGGACACAGCCAATAAACTGTGTTTACATATTATCAACGATGCCTTCGTATGCCTTCAATTATAACAATAGAGTTGAGCAGGTGCTATGGAGACCATGCAGCCTGCAAAGCCTAAAATATTTACTATCTGGCCTGTTAAGAAAAAAAGTTTGCTGATCTCTGATAAGGTTTTAGAATGACCTGATGTAAGTGGGAGAATTTTCTAAATGCATAATGACTAATCCCCAACCTCACCTTTGCAACTATAGTCCTACACTTGCAATCCATGTCCTTTGGGGAGAGAACAAACATTAATTTTAGCCAGTGAAGTTAAAATCTTGAACTGGGAAAGTTTTTCAGAAGTCACTTAAATGGATATTTCTCACTGTTGAAGGTTCACTACCTGATATACTACCTGTGGAGTACTTCTAAGTTATTCCTAATGGTTGTTATTCCTAAACTTCTTCATCAGTTCTGCCTGCCTTCTCTATTTTTCACATACTTGACAGTGGTAAGATTTTTCCCTAGGTCTCTTTACCTCCGAAACTCCTTTCACCATAATTAAAGCAAGATAACTATCATCATCTTTGTCATCATTGGATGTGCTCTTTTGCTAATATTCATCTCAAAGTACGGCAACCAAAATCTAGTACAATATTCTAGAGTCAATATCACCAAGGCAGAGTACAGGAAACTATTATTTGGGTTATGTTTCTATAAATACAGCCTAACACTGCAGAGACTTTTGCTGACTTGATTACTTTAGAGTATATATGAAGTGATTCAAGAGGGTAAAGGGGGTCAAATATATGGTGACTGAAGGAGACCCGACTTTGGGTGTGAGTACACAATGTGATATATACATAATAGAATATACGAGACCTGTCCAGAAAGTATCCAGCCATGCAATATAAAAATTATTTATTGAAGAAGATACAAGATACAGGAAACATTGTACTCAGGACAATGATGCTTAAGTCCCCTTCAAAGTAGGCACCTTGGGACCTCACACAGTTCTCCCAATTGCCATCAGCTGCCTCATATTTTCCTAAATCTCATCAATGGTCTGAAATCTCTTCCCTTTCAAAGGTGATTTTAGTTTTGGGAAAAGCTAGAGGTCGCAGGGCGCCAGATCTGGGCTGTAGAGGGGCTGGGTCACCCGAGTGATTTGATGTTTCACATAAAAACCCTGCAGAGGATATGATGCATGAGCAGGAGTGGTGTTGTGATGAAGTGGCCAATCACCAGTTGCCCATAGATGTATCCTTCTGAATCATCCAAATAATTTCCATGGAAGTATGTTGAAGCTTAATGCAAAATTTGGTGCAGATTCACTGCTCTATTCGCTCTGTCATTTTGAATGGGACAGCCACACAGTACACCTGCTCATTCAACAGCATCTATAGCCCCCACTGACTAGAACAGTGACGTCGTCACTGCTCATGCATGTGCATTCCAGTCCACTCTCCTTGGCTGCCAGGTTATATCGATGTTGTGCAAACTGGTCTCATATTAACAATGGTTAATTGTTAATATAATGGTTGGACTTTTTCTGGACAGACCTTGTATATACAATATATAGAAATGTACACTTAAAATTTATGTAATCTTATTAAGCAATGTTACTCCAATAAATTTAATTAAAAATATACATAGAATATACTTCAGATATTTTAAATTCAGGTTTCGATTTCAGAAATGCTTTATGTTTAAAATAGTTATTTGTCTTTAAATATCAATATTGTATGTGCATCATAAAATCATTAAAAATAATAAAGTTATATTGAACTATACACTTGCAAAGTTAGGGGATATGTATATTGACTCCATTGGCAGCTTAATCATCTCAAACAGCCACAATTTGCTAAAATAAGCAGTTTGTATTTTCCAGATATCTATGCTCTGTAAATATAGAAGCTGCATAAATGTTTGTTGAATGACCACAGGTTTTACAAATACTTTCATCTGATTTAACTGACACATTTATAAATACGTATATTTAGATATATGTTGACAGTATTTTTCCACCCTCATTCTCAGACAGGTCAACAAGAAAACATTAACATGTAGTTTTGTGGCTAACTCAGTTGTACATTTTATTTGTTCATTCACTAGAAAATAAGATTTCCTTTTTAAAAAATTACCAAATGAATCTTTAGTGTGATTTAGAGTAAGAGAACAAAACTTGCCTCTAAACTCGCTATAGAAATAGCATGATTATAGTGTGGATTAGTAATTCTATGGTCTGATAACTCTCCTTAAAAGTTCCTTTAAATATTTCCAGATTTAATTACTTCCTTTTAAAATGTGACCCAGCCTCTTACATGTATTTCCATGATTATACCTTAACATATTCTTATTAAAATTATCTACATCCATGTTTGGCTTCCTGCTAGACTGAACTTTTCCAAGATAGGGTCTTGTCTGAGGTCACTATAGTCCTAGAGGATAGAGGAGTAAGTAGGAAAACTAAACTGTTGAAATAATCTCAAGGAAAATGTAACAAGAGCCTGCACGAAAAGAAGTAGCAATAATGATAGCCAAAAAAAGAGGTGAAAGAAGATGTCTTATAAAAGATAAAAGTATTGAGAAGATACTTGGGATAATTATTCTGTGAGGGATAAGACGCATGATTTTAAATAAATTTCACTGCAGTGGATATTCATGGGAAGCAAGTGTCTTTCACTACAATTTTTCTGGGCCCCAGTTAGAGCCTCTAAAATTCTCTTCCTCTAAGAGGCACTGAGCTGTTGTTGGAGTGAGTCCAAGGGAACAGCTGTAATATACACTTGCTCTGGAAAGATGCATATTATCCATTTCTTTCAAAATGCTGTCCTTCACTGACCTTTACAAGCTGACCATGAGAAAACAGTTTTAACTCATCCTTTTTAGTGATTCACAGAGACCTTAACAACTTCAGGGTGGAAACTCAAGTTTTCATGACTAATATGTAGAAAATTCAAATTTCTTTAGTAGGGGGTGCAATTCATTTTCACTGTGAAATTCATAGTATGATGAAAGGGGTTATAAAAATACATTTCGGAGAGCTAATGAATTATTTAAGACAAAGATCTCTTAATATTACGTCCATGGATGGGCTTAGAAAGGGTCTGTGCTAATGGATTTTTAAAAATAATGACAAACAATTTAGATCTAGGTGAGTAATGCCCATACCAATGTAGACTTTTAGTTATCAGTAAATGTGAACAAGAACTCTGTTAAGGTAGGTTAAAAGAATGTAGTGTGAGTAGCAGAATCAAAAGCAGTAAACAAACCTAAGAGCCAGTACTGAAATGTAGTCTGATAAATAATTAATCTTAGATTATTAGATACATTATACATTTTAATGAGAAAAAAACTTTCCTTGTAAAATGTTTACAAAGTAGTCTCTTTTACATAAAGAGAGAGATAACCCTAAGGTATTTAATTTTGGCAGCTGTACCTACATTTAAGGGGGTGTGTGTGGGGGTGTGTGTGTGTGTGTGTGGGTGTGTGTGTGGGTGTGGGTGTGTGTGGGTGTGTGTGTGTGTGTGTGTGTTTTCAAAAAGACAATGAAAATAGAGGCCTGATTACACATCTTATTGCCTCCATGAAAATTTAACCAATGAGATCAATTAAAAGACCAGCTTAGTAAGGAAAACAGCCTACTATAAAGGAAATGGAAAATATGAAGAGGTTCTTGAAATGTTATTCCAATTTTCTGTTAAGCAAAAAATTTTAATTCCCATGGAACACAAAATGTCCTGAAAGCTCAACCTTTTACAAGTAAAAGTTTATAAGCGAACTTATTACTGATAACCAAAGACTGAAGCTCACAGGACTTTGTAATTCCCTGTTACAGATGAGACCCATATCCCACGTACTTCAGGAATAAAGTCCATTTATTACCTGAAATCACACAAGTGATGCCAACCACACATTGTTCCTTTCTTGATTGATGGGTTCACTTAAGAAAGAAGTATAAAAGGGCTCTACTTTTCAATTTAAAGTCGAGATCAAAGCTAACACTCCTCTCTTTTTCTTTCAAGAGCCTGGGGGCTTCATTAAAAGTAACTTCACTTTTTCTTGCCCTAATGAAGCTAATACCATCCTGGACTTGGTTGATTTGTAAAATAGTTATTTCCTGGCTGCTGGTTATCTAAGGAGAAAGAAGAGACAAAAGAGTACATCATCCAGGGCCCAGCTAAATTCATGAAGAGTTTAATAATATCTAGATTAAACATTTTAATTAGATTAAGAGCATCTAGAAAAAGTAACACTAGCAATGTATCTTTTAGTTTACTTGATTCTTTTACAGACCTGTATAATAAACAAGGCAAAAGCAAAATATTTCCGTAAACCATCAGAAATGGGAACTTCTCTCCCTGAAGCTTGTAAGTGGCCTTTCCTCTTTGTTTTTTTCTGCTATAGTATAATGCCTTCAAAAGCCTTTCCATGGTTTTAAATACTTCACTTGTTTTTTTTTTTCAAGTCTTCCTGCTACTATGGGTGAGGGTGGATGAACTTTTGGAAAACACTTCCTTCACATTTTCTCTCCATCAAAAATGAACAGCTACCTTATTTATGTCACAAGATGAAGACAATTTAGTCATTATTGAGGCATGTAGTCAAGTATTACCCGTTCTGGTGGTACCCCATCCATTGCCCAGATGCATTAAAACCTTTCTGCATCCCACTGATAAATTTAATGGTCTTTCTTGACAAATGCCAACTCTATACTGATACTGTAAGCAAAGTAAAACTTAGGTTAGCTAGGGGGTCTCTCAGTAGAAACTGTCACTCTATTTCCTTGCAGAGAACAGGTAGTTTGTGTCCACAGAGGAAAAAAAATCCAAAATTTCAAAATAGGAGATTTTCAGTTTAGTTCAATGCAATAAAGATGGAGCTAGCAACTTTGATTGGGGCTACTAGCAGACACAGTATGTTCAGTTAATTGCATCCAGGTATAGTTCATAGGTCTCTTTGGAGTATTATTCTCATTTTTGACCAACTCAACATTCCAGACTTGTGCGATCTGCCAGAAGGCCGAATGATTTGGGAGAATCAGAGACCAATCATAAAGCCCCGTCATGGTCTCTGGTCTCCGAAAGATTCCCCATTTCCTGAAGCCAAGTGTCATAAAACTGCAGCTATGGTGTCTGCGCCTATGATTACATACAACCATGCATAAACATGAACAAAGAAGATATTTGCTTATCATTGCTGTAATTGGCTGCTGCAAGGACATTTTCAAAATCAAATGACAAGGTCCAGACAGTGCTGCAGGGATCACGGTAGTGATTCTGCCAATACTGACAGGCTAGGGAGGAAATGTAAATGGACTCCATCAATTTGCTTTGAAGCAGAGAAAGAGCCTGCTGGTAAGTGAATCAAAAACATTAGCTTAAAAATATGGAGTATTTTTTTTTTTGGACAGGGAGAGTCCTGTGTTATTTTTTAAATTTAAATTATATTTTATTGTTTATGCCATTACAGTTGTCCCAATTTTTATGCATTTGCCCCCTTCTACCCAACCTACCCCAATTCCTCAGGCAATCATAACATCATTATCTACGTACACGGGTCATGCATGTATGTTCTTTTGCTGCTATATTCCCTATGCTGTACTTTATATCCCCACGACATTTCTGTGACCAATTTGTACTTCTTAATTCCTTTACCTTTTTTATCCATCCCCCTGACCCCCTCCCAACTGCCAACCATCAAAACATTCTCTGTATCTAGGATTCTGTTTCTGTTTTGCTTGTTCATTCATTTTGTGTTTTAGATTCAACTGTTGATATATATGTATTTATTGCCATTTTATTGTTCATATTTTTATCTTACTCTTCTTAAAGAAGACCCTTCAACATCTCATAAAATACTGGTTTGGTGGTGATGAACTCCTTTAGCTTTTTCTTGTCTGGAAAGCTCTTCCTCTGTCTTCTGATTCTAAATGATAGTTGTGCAGGGTGGCGCTATTTACTCAAATGAATATAAGATACATATTATCTGTTCAGTGGACACTATACAAGTATATCCACAGGCACCACTATATTTCAAGAGGAATGCTACAGCACTGGATGAAAGACATGAAATACAGTAGAAATTTTATTTAAAAACTTTGCTTTCTAAATGATAAAGACCAAATGTAACATCATATTCTGATGTAATTGTTTGCCATCTGCTCCATTTCTGGTAATAACAGAATATTTTTTTAAAGGTTTATTTATTTTTAGAGAGGGAGAAGGGAGGGCGAAAGTGGGAAAGAAACATTGACGTGCGAGAGAAACATCAATTGGCTGTCTCCCACATGTCCCCGCAACTGGGGGACCTGGCCCAAAACCCAGACATGTGCCCTGACCAGGAATCGAACTGGTGACCTTTGGATTTGCAGGACAATGCCCAACCCACTGAGCCATACTGGTCAGGCCCAGAATATTACACTAGTAATGGTGAAAAACTTCACTGTGAGCAATTATTGACCAATTTCAATAGTGATCTATCATCCTTCAGTATTTGATCTTTGGTAAAGGGCTACTTCAGTAAATTGGCAAAATTTGAAGTAATGCAGAATAGCAAAGAAATAGAGATCTTCTAGCAGTACAATTAGAGAGAGGATAGCTTAATTTTAATACAGGTATCACCTAGCCAAGATGTGAAGAGTAGTCCTACGAATGACAGTAACAATAATGTGGCATCACAGATATTCTAAAAAATTAAACTTTTTTTTAAACCAATACAATGTGGGCAAGGTATTTCAGAATGCACTTAATGATGGGAAAGAAGTATTAATAGATGGTCTTTACTTTGCTCTTTCAACCATTTACTGTTCACTTATACTTGATGCAGTACAACATACCAACTACCTGGGAAATTATAGTTACTAAATCTTAGAATGAGATCAGTAAGAATGGCACACTGAAATAGGTGTAACTGTATAAAAACAGCAACATAAATGACCAGTAAGTAGAATATTACCTTTTTTATTCACTGATGCTCAATATGTCATCAGTTGAACACCTAAGGCAAGCAGTTAAACAATAGATTACCTTACGATAATGCGGTAAGTTAAAGTGCTTCCTTAAAAATCAGTTTAAAGTCAACTGATAAAAACTTTTAAACTGATTATTTAACATAAGCCATTAAACTATTTTCCCAACTGATTCATTAGCTAATTTTAATAAAATTAAAGACACAGAGATATGTAAGAAAGTTTGAAAAGGGGAACTTAAAGAACTAAAATTCTAAACCTTTCCTGGGGAGTAGTGCCTCGAGAGAGGGAAATGATTGCAAAGGTTGAAATAAAAAGATAAAGGACAATCCCTAGACTGGAGAGAACTACTATGGGGGTCATTAACAGAGACTTTGGAGGGCGTGTCCAATAATGGCTATTACAATGATAGAGGATAGAGAATTCGGATATGATGGAAACTCAGAGAGCATCTATTATAGTACATAAAGAGCATACTAGAAGCTCTAGTTCTTAAATTGGAAGATTAAGTTAAATCAAAATGGATCATAAGCTTTCAATTTCATCTAGTCAATACCAATAATATCTACCTGATAGTTATTTTCAGGTCTAATGTGATTATAATTTGACACTCTCATACCAATTTTTACAAAAGATTTTATTTATTGTTTGTTTGTTTTTAGAGAGAGGGGAAGGGAGGGAGAACGAGAGAGAGAGAGAGAGAGAGAGAGAGAGAAAAAAACATCGATTGGTTGTCTTTTGTATGTAACCTGAGTTGGGACCACACCCGCAAACCAGGCATGTTCCCTGACCAGGAATGGAACCAGCAAGTTTTCACTTTGTGAAAGACACGCAAAGAATGGAGGCACACTGGTCTGTGCTCCCATACCAATTTTCAGGGGCAAAAAAAAAAAGAAAAGATAGAAAAATATTGGAGGTCAGACATTTATCTTCTGTCATAAACCCTGAAATGATTAGTATTTTTTTAAAAGATGAAAGTATGTGTTCTTGGACAGGGACAACAGGGGGAATTGACTGTGGGAGGGGGAGGGGGCGTGGGCAGGGGACTAGAGAGCAACGGGGAGAAACTGGGACAACTGTTATAGAACAATAATAAAAAAAAGTATGGGTTCTGTTTCATAGCATAATTGAGAAAATCACAATAATTAGCTTACTAGTTTAAAAAATATACTTTCACATCTCTAGAAAGCAACTACTGTATTTTGCCATGCATCCTTAATGCACTCCTATGTATAATGTGCACCCATGGTTTTGGCCCAAACTTTCCGAGAAAAAAAAATATTTCATTTTAATTTTTTAATTCAATTTTTTGTTTATTTATGCTTAGATACTTATTTTTTATATTATAAAGGGTATTATTTTGCATACGGATATTGTTATTGCTTTCTAGAGTTATACTTTTAATGCATAAGCATAAATAAAAGAATTAAAAACATTTATATACAGAATTAGTACTGTATACGTATAATGTGCATCCTTATTTTTCCCTCAAAAATTTGGGCAAAACAGTGAGCATTATACATGGCAAATACAGTAATTAAAACTTGTGTTGATTCCTTAGTTAATATTGGTTTTACAATACTCGTATCTTACCAGTAGTCTATCACAATAGTATCACTAGCAAGTTATAAGATACAAATAACACTGCTGTATTTATTACTGCACTTTAATTTCCACAAAAGCAAAATTCTGAGAAAAGCATGAGTCATTATCTTCAGGGTAAAAAAAAATGTTTCTTTGATCAGGATATGAAACATTACTGAAATCAGTAATTTAGACTAGAAATTACTTTTCTGAATAAAAGAAACAGAATGTTTCTTTTCTCTATGTGAATATGCCAAAACCAGCAGAATTGTCCATCTGTCTGCTTTTGTTACTCTACATATCTGGTGCATGGTGACAGAAAAACAACCTATAGTCTAGTCATTTTCAGCCTGGGTCTTTTGTTTTTCGTCCTGTCAGGCTGTCATTTTCCCAGGACAAACACACACACACACTCATTCACTCACTCACTCCCCCCGCCCAACCTCTCCCTCAGTATTTGACTCAGTTTATATTACAAAGTAACTGCAAATATACCTAAAGAATATTCTAAAAGTGAATATTTATTTCCATAATGTTAAATATTAAAGAGTTCTCAGGTTCACAGTTTTTTTCATTTTTTC